CAGAAAAAGAGCAAGGGTGAGAGAGGTTGCAAGAGGAGAGGAGGGGGTGTCCCCACTCACTTTTTATTCAGCTCTGCCCACTGTTGGCATGTGACCCCTGGTGAGACACCCCAGGGAAAAAGCAGCCCCCGGCAGGGGAAAAGAACATGCGGGCTTTTCAAAGCAAACTGGTTTTCCAGGGGTGGCAAGGTTTGCGCCCCTTTGAGTGGGGAAAGAGGGGTCTTCTGTGTGTGCATGCATGCGTACGTGCGCACACACAGAGCTTGTCTTGGGAGACCCCTGCTCTGTCTTTCCTATCCATAGGGAAGGTCCGGATGGGCACAGGGGAGAGTAGGACGGCGCCTGGCGCAGGGGCAAGCTCCGTTGCTCACAGTCTTGCTTGCTCCTTGTGTATTGATCTGACGCCTGCGCTGCCACGGACTCTGGGCCGGTCGCAACCGTCCCTCACACACCAGGGAAGGCATGTGGTGCGTGGCTGCATGCGTGGAGAACCTACCGTGCACGCCTGGGGGCTGGCGCTGGAGCTGCAGCGGCGCTCGCTCAGCCGCTCACCACACCGTTGCATCCTAGAGGCTTGCCAGGGCACCGGCCGAGCCGTGCCGATGGTCCAGCGGTTTCTTGAGTCCAGTGCATGGAGCTGCCTGCTTTTAAAGCACACGGAGAGTGGGAGCTGGGTACCGGCCCCCGTCCTGTGACGCCACATGTGGGGAGAGAATCTCTGAGGTTCCTTGGTGCGATGCCACAGACTGCATTCTGCAGGGCTGCCCGGCTAAAGACTCCCCTGGTGTCTTGCAGCCCTGGAATCTAGGAAGCCATAAAACGGCTTTGCAAATGGGGCTTGCGGACAATGACTTCATGCGCCATTGCATTCGCTTGATGGATCTTTGGTCTTTAAGGTCGTTTACATAATTTGCAGGCACTCAAGACTCAGTCTGTCTGATTATAGTAGCCCATCAACGAACATTAATACATTGGCATGCCGGTCTGTCGCCATGTAATTAAAGGCTTCTCTGCTCTGCGGTCTTGACTTGCTGCTCTTGCGATGCTGAATTCTCTGGGCCCCGTACTGACATGGGTGCTCCTCCCGATTGTGCCTGGAAAGTACACAGCCCTCCCGAAAGTGGCCAGGCTCAGGCTTGTGAACGAGCCCCCCGTTTGATTCCTTGTGGTGAGCAAGGATCACAGTGAAGGGGGATTTGGAGGGTGGAAGGGATGCTGCTCAGCTTTCCTTTCACTGCAGGTGACTAACTTAAGCAGCCTGGGAAAGAAATCTGTTTGAAAACTTTACTCCTGGTAAGCATGTGTCAGATTTGCGGCCTTGCACGGCAGTCGCTCAGGTGGCTTTTGGAAGAGGAAGGCCTGAGCTGGGTCGGCAGAGGGTTTAGCGGCTGAGCAACTGTCGGATCCTTTTCTTCCACAGACCTTACTTCACAGTCAGTGTGCTGAAATTGGAGCTGACCCCCACAGTCAATCTGGTAAGATTGCTCAGGTGCCATGGCTAGTTATATTAATCATAGAAGAGTAGAGTTGGAAGAGGCCATGAAGGCCATCGAGTCCAACCCCCCAAGGACACCAAGTCACTCCATCCCACTCAAGTGGCTGCCCAGTTTCACCTTGAACAACTCCACTGTGGGAGAGCCCCCCACCTCTCCAGGCAGTTGGTCCCACTGCCCTGTTGCTCTGATGGTAAGGAAGCTTTTCCTGATGTCTAGCCTGTTGCAACTTGAGTCAATTCTTCTGTCTTATACTTTGGCATCAGCAAGAATTGATCTTGACCTTCCTCTTTGTGACAGCCTTTGAGGGATTTCTAGAGGGATCTCATGTCCCCCCTCAGTCTCCTCTTCCCAAGGCTGAACATGCCCAGTTCTCTTGGCCTCTCCTCACAGGGCAGTGTTTCCAAACACTGGACCATTTTTATTGCCCTTCACTGGACCCTTTCTAATTTACCTGCATCTTTCTTAAATCTTGGTGCCCAGAACTGGACACAGTATTCCAGGTGAGGTCTAACTAGTGAGGCGTTTAGGGGAACTACTACTTCTTGTGATTTGGAAGTAAGATACTACTCTCTGTCCTCCTTTTCTTGTCAATGCTAAAGGAAGCGCCATTTCTGGTTTTGCTTGCTCTGCCATCACTCCTCAAAGCGAAGATGCAACTTCAGACCTTGAATTAAAAGACTTCCACAGATGATGCCAAGAACATGGCATGCTTAGCAGTGGAACAACAGGAAAGTTCTTTTTCTGGAATTGTGACTGATGTGCTTTTCTAGGTTGTGATTAATTCAGCACGATAAATAATGTGTTTGGATTGATTTTGAGTTCTTTCTCTCTCCTTGGACTGTTTGATAGCAGGGGATGGTGCTGAGGCTCACTCTTTCTGTGAGATCTCATGAGGACTGGCTTTTTCAGCTCCTCCCAGGTTGGGTGTTCTCAGTCCTGAAAGGAACACCACTGATTGGAAGCCCCATCTGCAAAGGTGGATGTGTTCCCTCTGTATCTTGGGTATTTGGGATGGGCTGTTCTTAGCTGGATAAAGGAAGGCACTGGGCTCCCATGATGACCGGGCAGGTCCACTGTGTGTGGGATGCTGGCTTGTTCCCACACCTGCTCAGGTTGCAGGAATAGGAGTCGCTCTAGCACCATGGCCAGCGCTGCGGGTCCTAGCCCAGGACCTGGAGAGTGTTCAGGAGCACAGAGCAGTCCTGCAGTACCCACAAGTCACCCCAGCACTGGGGTACAGCACCTGGTTTTGCAGCCACCCCAGAAGAGTCTTACCAGTAGCTCTGCCTCCTCAGATGCTTCCTCTGGTTCTCTTCACGGGCTCGTGGTCTTTCTTGGAGTCACCGGCAGTGCCAACGTGCTGAGGGGCTGGCCGGGACATGTTCCTCAGAGCCTAAGGTCCACTCCTTGGTCAAGAAGAAGGGCTGCAGAGCCCATGGTGGAGGGTCCCACTTGAGAAGGTCCAGAGGCTGCTTCAAGCGCTTCCTCAGAGTAACCGCCACTACAAGTCTCAGTCTTGGGGCGCTTAACCCAAAGCCACAGCAGCATCTTGACCAAGATAGTTCTGCCTTAGAAGCAGCAGCTGCTGGAAACTATGCAACACACGTTCTCTGACACCATCTTGGAGGTGCTTTTTCCCGTCACCTGGAGTGAGTAGGGTAGAGGCAAGCTGGTGAGATGACACCCCAGGGGCAGGAGACATGCTGGGCAACAGTTGCCATCCAGCCAAGGAAGACCTTTCCCTGGAAGTGGGTGATGACGCTGAGGCTGTTGTCCTTCAGGCACATCATGAGAAAGCTGGACTCCCTGGAGAAGACGGCCATGCTAGGCAGAAGGGGAAGGCCAACTGAGATGTGTCGGTTCCATCAAGGATGCCACGGACCTGAGCTTGGAGGACACCTCGGGGGGCATGCATCCATAGCACCGACATGCATGAGAGAGGGTTGGACAGTTTGCCACAAGAGCAACGTTGGGTGCCAGACTCGCCACCTGAGATGGGGCCTTCGGCTTTCCTCGTGAAAGGAAAAGGCTGGGTGTTGGAAGTCTAGTCTGAGGAGCTGGGTATTGGGAACCTAGGTTCCTCCCCATCAACAGGATGGGATCTCCTGTTAGGAGGTGGTGCCAAAGATGGAGGGGCCACCACGGAGAAGACTCTCCCCCTCATTGCTACCTTCCTGCCCTCTGTGGGGTTGGTACTTGGAGGAAGCCCCCAGAGGCTGAGCACAGTGTCTGAGTTGGGAGAGGTGCTCCGACAGGTATGGCTGCTCCAAGACATGTCTTTCCTTATTTACTGATTTAGCACTTTTGTATACCGTCTCGAAACCACATGGCTCTCTACACGGTTGACATAATAAAACACCAACAACATAGAGCATGATAAATAACACAGTTAAACACAATTAAGACAATTAAAACTACAATATCAATAATAGATAACATAACTTAACCTCCTATCAGGAACACCAGATAATAGTAAAGCAACAGATTGGAATAAATGTCATAATTAAGAAAACTAAAATTTACATTAAAATGTAGTTAAAATTAAATTCCAGTGAAATCATGAACAGTTAAAATGCTCAAATAAAAACATCTTTGTCTGGCACTGGATTGTGTATTAGGGCGGTGCTTGATGAATATCTCTGGGAAGTCAGTTTCATAGATGGGGTGCCACAACCAAGAAGGCTCTTCCCTGTAAGTCTCTGTAGGTTAAAGCCAGTACCTTGAATTGGGTCCAGAAGCACACAGACAGCCAATGCAGACAGGCCAGAACTGGTCTTACATGTTTGGACTTCTGGGTCCCAGTTATTAATCTGGCAGCCCCCTTTTGCACAAGCTGCAGCTTCTGAATCGTCTTCAAGGGCAGCCCCACGTAGAGTGTGTTGCAGCAATCAAAGATATGCTGACTGGCTTTTAAAAAGCACTCAGACCTACCCATAACAGAACATTTTCAGGCTTTACTCTTCGGGTGGGATGTGTTTGCTTTTGATCAGTTTTTTTCCCAAATAGTGTGCATTTTGCTGCAACTGAATTTGTGCAGAAATATGCAAAATTTTAAAAATGGCCTACGGCCCTTTGTAAGCTCGTAAGGCCAGTTTGCTGTGGAAACTGTCGGGTGGGCTTTTGAGTAATCCAGACTCGCTTGTCGGACATCCATGGGGGTCACACTGTACTCCTCCCCTTCTGTGTCTGCCATCTTACGCCTTAGTTTTCCTTAAGCAGGACAAACACACCATCAGCAGCCAGAGTCAATTTGCCGGGAAACCTGAGCAGGTCTTGCTCATGGGCTTTCTGGGGCAGGTGGGGGGAGGGTGGAGGCAGTATTGGCCTGAATAGGCTTTGGTCTGATCCAGCTCGGCGTCTTCGGTTCTTGTGCCTGGGCAGGGTCCAATCCAGCCCAGTGCCGAGTCAACAGACAGGCCAGTGGTCAAGCCCCGATGTGTCTGTCCAGGAAGGGGGCAGTTCGAGGCAGGAGGCTGGGGAACGCACGGCGGCAAAGAGCAGAACATGACTGGGCGAGACGGGGAGTTGCAGAGGAGAGGCCTCGAGAGCAGCCAGCGCCGAAACGTGGGCGAGATGCAGACATGCAAGGAGCGAAGTCAGGTAGCGGTCCAAGGGTCTGGACCTGCAGCAAGGCGGAGGAACAAGGCTCAAGGTGCTGAAGTTGGCAGCTCTCACGCCGCAGCTGAGCGCCCCGAGGCTCCGCTGCTCTTCCGCACAGGCTCTCCGGCAAAAGCGCAGCTTGTGGGAGGCCCGTCCTTGGGAGGAGGTTTTTGGGCTTGAGTTCCTTTCTCTTAGCAGTCCTCCCCCTCCCCCTCCCCCTCCCGAGAGAAGTGCCCCTCTCTCTGCATCTTGGCCGCGGCCCAGCAGAGCTGTCCAGGCGCAGCTCTCCGAGGCCTTCAGGTCGAGGCCTTTCCTCTCCCACCTCCTTACCCGAGATGGCCTCGAGTGCCGATGGCCGAGGCTGAACCAGCCCCCACTGTGTGCCAGGCTCGTGCTCTGAGGGTGCACCACTTTGTTCGAGCCAAGCGTCCACTTGCCAGTGGCCCTCCGTATTTGCCAGTGCCCGTCCGCGGGGCCGCCTCGCCAAGCAGCACTCGCTCGCAGGACTGTTCCCCTTCCGCCCTCGGAGGCGTGTTCCTCCTGAGGGAAGCGGAGGTTATACTTGGCTTCAGGGGTTCTGCAGGCTGCACAGGAGCCCATTCCCGGGAGCCTGATGTGGCCAGAAGCAGGAAAGGGGCTGGCTGGAATCCAGTCCCTGCCACCCAGAAGCAATGGCAGAAGTGCTCCTGGAAAACTCCTTGTGGCCGCCAGGAAGGGAAAAGTGACGTCAGTGTTGGAAGGGTGATGGAGTAACATGCCTGGTTTGCTTTGCTCTCTGGAGTTTCATGCGGCCAGCATTGGAGGAGGCCTTTCTGAGGAGATGCGCTTGGCTGGTCTGTTGTTTCGACCAGCCACGCTTGAAGGCAGGGTGAGGAACTGAGTTTCCCATGTGCTTGGAGGGTGGGAATCCATCCAGTTGATTTCCAGCAAGTTCTTCCTCATAACTGGCTGCAGTTTTACCCTCTAGGGCAGTCTTTCCAGTTTGGTGCCTGCCAGGCATTTGGGACTTCAGGTTCAGCTGACATGGCCCTGGGTCAAGAATGCCAGGAGCTGAACGTGGAAGCATCGTGTTTGGTGTTTGATTTGAAAGCTGGTTACTGAACATTTCTTTGAAAAATGAAGATCGCCACCCATGACATCACAAAAGCTTGTGCCACAACAAAGTTGTTGGTCTTCAAGGGGGCACCGGCCTCTTCATCGTTTTTGCTGCAAGGAGCTAACATGGCCGCCCTGCTAAAAAAGTCCCTTCTTCTATCATCAGCAGCATCTTTGCAGTGATATAACTCCTGGACTCGGCTTAGGCTGTGATGTTGTGCCAGAATGTGCTGTAGGCGGCAAAAATTTGGTTTCAGCTTAAGTCCGGTGTGCGACGTTTTTTGTTACAAAGACATGCTCGGAAGTGAGTTGCCATGACCTGGGGCTGTGGCAGAGGTCGAGGTGTGCGAATGAATAAACTGCTTGGCATCCTCTCCCATTCTTAAGAACCAGCGCAAAATGTGGAACATGGGTACAAACACAAACCGAATCCAGATCTCGGAGCACGTCCTCAGCAGAATCGTTTCTGCAAAGCCGAACAGCCATATTTTTAAAAATGTTTTAGAGCAGAGTACATATATCTCTGGATGCAGCCTTTTGGTTCTACGCTGAACAGTAACCTTAAAAAAATACTGTTGTCCGTGGTGCCCTTCCAGGTTCAGAGTCTCGGTTGCTCCCATTATCAGCCATGCATGTTCTGGCTGCTTTGTTCCAATGTCCAAAGGCACCACCTAGAACTATCCTGGGCTCTTTCCTTTAGTGTCTGGCCGCATATCCACTCTCTCCCCTCTTGCTCAGTCACTACGCAGCCCCTCGCATCTCTTCTGTTCCACACGAGAGACCATTCAGCACAATCATTGTTCATTCCAAAGGGTCTAATAAGACAGGGATGAGCAGACTTCAAGCTTGTGGGGTTTGCTTGGATTTTTTCCTCTGTCTCATGAAGCCCACCAACTGGAACCAAAAGCAAAACAAAGAGGTAGCGGGGGGAGCGGGGCAGACGCCAGATGCAGAATGGTTCGAGACTCAGGCAGTTGTCTCTTGCATCCCACACTGTACCGGCAAGCAAAGTTGGCGCTTGGTTTACTTGCAAGTGAGGGACTCTAATAGAAGGTCAGAGGCTACTGATTATTCCATATATTTTGCAGGTGAGATGCACAGAGGCTGAGAGTTTTATGCACTGTTTCTGTTTTTAATACGGGAGCATATGAAAGCAAGCCCAAGGTGGCAGCAATTACATTTTTAGCCACGTGCTTTCAGAAGAGTCAGTCAGCTTGTCTCAGCATTCTTGGGGTGCAACATTTGGATGAAAAAGGTCCTGCACAAACGGAGTCAGAAAGTGTGGTCAGACCCCTTCCAGATCAGTAGCAGTAGATCCCAGTTTCCTTGTAATTATTCCTGGCCTGTCCTGCAACAGAAACAAAGGAGAGAGGCCCTGCGAGGCCCCCTGAAACCTTGGTGAGCCGCTGCCGCCGGAGGAGGAGGAGGCAACTGGCTAGCTGGCCCATGGATGTGACGCCATTCACAGCAGCTTTCTTGTTGAACATGTCATTGGAAGGGCCAAGAGATGCCAGGAAGCAAAGCATTCCAGCTGGGAGCTGCAAGGGAGATGTGGAGCTGTTACGGAATGAGGATTCGGGACAAAGATACTAGAGGAACAAAGAGAGCCAGAGGGTCATTGGTAGGAGAGTGAGATGGAGAGATTAAGTCAGGCTCGTGTTTAACAACTGGGCCACCAGGAATTTCATGCAGGCGAAAGCGCAGAATGCCATGCATGGGTGTGCGTGGGCTGGAGGAAGGGGGTTAGATCTTTCCATTACACCTTGCCAGCCCCATTTGGTTTCCTTGCTGGCTGCAGAGGAAGTGGACTCCGTCCTTCAGCTTTGACCCTCCAGCAAACAATGTTTTCAGTAGAAGGGTCTTGTTTTCCTGGGCTGCTAAGAGGCCCAGTTGGTTTGCTGCATTTCCACGCTTGCTGTAGAGGACGAGGGCTGGAGATGGAAGTTCCTAGTCCCTGAGCCAATGTTGTGGGCTCATTTGCCAGGGCTCAATTAAAAATCATTCATCACTCTTCGTCACTCACCTGCTTGATACTGGTTAGCTTGCTGTTAGGGCTTAGCCAGAGTTGTGTATGTGTGTGATTAATACGCCCTCGGCCGTCTCGCTGCAAAGGAGGGCTGAGTCTAGTTTTTATGGTAAGCGAAGCATGCAGAGAAAGGGAGCAGAGCAAAACATCGGTGTGGGCTGCCGTTGGATGCTTTCTGTTGTTTTCTTGCAGCCAACACTGACCAGGAACGAGCAGGAGCAGCAGAAAGTAGGATAAGGATAAGGAGGTGGTAGGTTTTGCTCCCCTCTTTCATGTGCTCGGATCGAAATGCAGACCCCACACTGGTCCCCACTTTGGAGCTGAGTGTGCATGATCGACTTGTGTGTGACTGGATTCGGCCTTTTGGGACCAGAGCAATAAAAGATGTGGCTCGTGCATCTTTTATTAAAGTGTTCCCCAGCTTGGTGCAGCTTCCCTTCATCCCCACTCAGCCAAGGGCAGTCTGGAGGCCACCAGGTTGGGGAAGGTGGATTTTCAGCATTCAGGAGGGGTGGGAGGTGCCATTTCTCATGCTCAGAGGGAGAAGATGTGAAAGTGCAGCACTAGAGAAAGTAATGTTCACCTCCCAGTATTAGCTGCTAGGATGGATTGCTGGGAGCAGGAAGCTTTAAACTAACCAGTTAGCCGTTCTGTTTGCCAGTAGTGGAGATTTTTTACAGTTTCCCTTGCACTCTAAAGAATAGTATTTCCCCGTGTAACTGGTGGGCAATGCTGCACTTAACACCATGTTCTGAACCCGATTTGCTCTTCTCCCTTTTCTTTTCCTGCCCACCCCCCGGTGGCTTTTTTAAAATCAGCAGTGGGTGGTTGAAGGTTTAATAGGGTGCTTGCCTGGTTATAAAATTAATTTGCAGTAGGCACTGGTCAAGAAGCCAAATGGTTTGTGGTGAGGTGCTTGTGACGGGGCCGGGACAGCTACTCAATTGGAGTGGTGTCAGCACCGTTCGGAGCGGAATCGGAGTCCGTGGCTGGTGAGGTGTCCTGCCGGAGAGGTTTACCGTGACAGTGTGGATTCTGCCAGCACTTCTGGGGACCGAGCCCCCCTTGGGGGTGGTGAAGGCAGAACACCTTCAGGAGATGCCCAGGACCTTTCGCAAAGGGGCACCGTGGGGATTCATGTATCGCAAAGCTTTTCTATCCCGCCCTGCACTGAAAGCCTTGGGACAGAATGAGTGTGAACCAAACCCGGGCCTTGGGGCCTGTGCTCAGGGACTTGCTGGCATGGACTGTGTGCCCGTTTTGCAAGATCGGTTAGTCACCGTTTTGCTACGGACCAAGGGTTGAGCATTGCATGTGAGAGTCTGGTGCAAATTTGGCACACACCTCTCTCCCCCTGTCCTTTCATGCACAGTGCGTTGCGGGACGTACTTGTTTTGTGAAAGTCTGTTGCAAAGGGATGCCAACATCTCATCTGAACGCCTAGCTTAACAGTGCGAGTTCTTTGCTGCTCTGGAGAAGGACCCTGGAGAGCCCCTCCGTGCTGCAAATGCTGATGGTTCTGATTGGATCTCGCAAAATCTGGACCGTGGGTGTGCAGGTACAGGGAAGTGGCTTCCTATGAATACCCTCAAGCACCAGCTTGGCTTGATTATGGTTCCTTCGTTCTGCGTTCTGGGTTCCCAATCGTCTTGCTCTCCTGACGCAGGTAAAGTGTAATCCCACCCTTTGCTTTGGAGGATGGTATACTCCTTCCCATCCCAGTTTATTCTCACAACAACCCTGTGAGGTAGATCAGCCAGAGAGTGATTGGCCCAAGATCACCCAATGAGCTTCTTTCTGTGGTACGGATTTGAAACATGGATTCCCCGGTCCTAATGCTAGACCCTTTCCGCCGCACCCCATAGACTTATGAATGAGCCACTCTTGCTGGGAACTGCCTAGAGAGCTTGGCTTGTAGGATGGTGAAGAAATCAAACACACCAAGCAAGCAAGCAAGCAAGCAAGCAGAGAAAGAACACTGGCTTTTAAAAATAAACTGCCAGGCTACTGATGTTGGTTAAAATAGTTACGGGAGGATGAAGGGTTACTTAAAATGCACATGGGCTAGCAATTATGGTGCATGTAGCTACAACCCTGCCTTCAACACAGTAAAGTCATGCTTTCAGGGTCATGTGGATTTGTTAGGTTTCAGCTGCTCTGGGGCAATGTAAATGAAACTTTATACAATTTAAGCAGACTCTTGAATTCTGGCATCTTACTCCCAATGGGAAGGCTCACGTGGCCCAGAATGAGATTCTGTAGACACAGCTCTCTTTCTTGCTCATCGTCATCAGAACATTTCATCCGCTTTCCCGGCGGCTTCTTAACCTTTTTATTGTACAATGTAAAAACTCCGTAATAAACCATGGTGTTCGTGAAGAAAGAAAACCGGCGTTCAGTGAAACTGCTATAAACAAAACCAAGTTGGGAGATCTGAAATGGAGGGAGGGATTTTCTTATCTTGTTCGGAACATGTTGGGAATGAAAGAGTGGTCATTCTTCGCATGCTTCCCGAGGCCGGGGAGGCACGGCTCTTCGGAAGAGGCCGGGGAGCTTGGAAAGGAGATCTGTGGACGCGGAGATGGCAGAGGAGGAAGGGCTTGCCCCAAGGCCCATCCCCAGGTGTTCAGGCAGACCGTGGGCACAGACAGGGCTTGGAAGTGCCAGGAGGGGGCAATGGAGAAGAGTGGGGGGCAGTTGGGTACCTGACCCCACGACATGGCATTGGAAGCAAAGGGCTACCCAGTTAGGGGGTGGGCACAGAGGAGGACTCTCAGAAATAGTGTGGGTTCAACAAACACTCTGTTCATGCTCAGAGACTCATCTTCCACTGGCTATAGTTTGCTAGCCGTATATTGAAATAAAGAGCACTTATGCAAAAAGACCTGTTTGAAAGGAATAAGGGGAGAGCCCAGCTCCTGGCAGAACATCAGATAACTGTCAGGTCTGGTTGTAGCAGTTGGGTCTGGACAACACATTAAACCAGGAATTCTGGCTTAATAAACCATGATGCAAACAAGCCACCTGTTCACTCCCATTTTGCTCTTGCCTTCAAACAAGTTAGGAAGGGTTTTACATCCGAGTGTGAGTGTGCCTACACAAGTCAGGGCTCATAAGCTAACTTTTAAATCTTAGTTTAAAGCTGGCTTCTGATCCTGGCTTACTTGGGAGCACTAAACAATGATATTGGCTTTTTGGAGGCACTGTGAAGAAGTTATCGTTTTGTAAATGAACTGCAAGGAAAAGCACACAGGTCTTTCAGGATTCCTGACTTAATGTAGATAGAGGCCGTTAACACTGGGGGTGGGCAAGAAATGTAAGAATTTGCCTGCTTTTCAAGAAGGCTCAACGATGTGGCTTTCTTTTTGCAGCCGCAGCACTGTCTCAAGGCCGTTATTTGGAGCTGAGTTGCGGTCTCAGCCCTGGCCAGGTGATCCTCGAGCCAAACCAGACGTTGGAGTTGGGCTGCAGTCTGGCTCCGGTTGAGAAGGTCCTCAACATTACCTGGAAGAAGAATGGGCTTCCCATAACAGAAGAGGAAAACCTTCGTGTCCTCCCCTCTGGCTCTCTGTCCATATCAACCCAGGTGCTTTGGGAGGAAGGAAACGATCCCAGAGGGATCAGCCTGGAAGGAAATTACTCCTGTGTCTCCCATGGCTCCTTTGGCTCAGTCGCAGGACAAACGGTTGTGCTTCGCATGTCAAGTGAGTATTTGTCCCCCGGCTTAATGCAGAAGCCCTCAAAATTCTCCCCATTTTTTGAAAGGTGTTGAAGAAGCCATGTTTTAGCCTCTTGGGTTGCAAATGTAAACGTGAAAGAGTGGGCGATCTCACAATCCGGAGGTGGCCACAAGGGTCCAGTGAAGATGATGATAAGCCAACCTTCGGGGCGGAAGCAGAATACAATTTGCGGCACCTAGGAGACTGGATCCTGGTTCCCCACGTGGGTCTTCTCTGCTCTCCAGAACTTTTGGAAGAGAATTTAATGTGTAAAATTTAAGCGGGTTGCACCATTTTGGTCCTTGATTCCCAACAGAAAATTGCACATGGCCCAGAATCGGATGCTGTAGGAACATCTTGTGCTCATTGTCATAATTATCACCAACACCAAACGTAGGCATTAGAACGCCCATCAGTTTGGAAACAAAAATGGGGCTCCCTCAAAGCAGGGTTTTTATAAATTTCCTGAGAGCAAGGACAATTCTTTAGTACAAAGACATGTATCGATCTGTAAATTACAAGATTTTTTTCAAAGGCCCGCCAAGGACCCGCCAAGGGTGATGAAAGAGCGAGCTGTGGGTTCTTGGCGTGGCAACCCAGGATGGCGTGTTGTGCTGTACAGACTGCAAAAAGTGGCCTGCAAAGTGCTTCGAACCGCCTGTAAAGACAAACGGTACAATTGATGATTGTGCTGCCGCTCTGGAAAACCGCCTGCTTCTCCCAGGAGGGCTTCCTGATGAGCTTTGGCGCTCAGGGTGCAGCTCAGCTGTTGGGAGACAAAAGGGGGAATCAGCTCGGTTGGGGCACACGGACGCCCCCTCCTGGGCTGCTTGGGCCACGAGGTCTTTCTCTGGGCTCTCAATTTAGCATTCAGCGTGGGTGAGTGTGGGAAGGATCCAGGGACTGCGGCAAGGGGGACGTGGTGTTGCGTTCGACCAGACGACTTGTTGACGCAAGAGCAGGGATCATTCTTCATTCCGCAGGAGTGCGGAGGGCTGATTAATATTCAGCAATCTATCACAAGTGACTTCAGAGCTGTGCATTTATGGAGAAGGGCTGCAGCTGGAAGTCCAAGATAGACTTTGCATGCAAGGGTCCTGGCATCTCCAGGTGGAGCTGGGGAAGAACCCTACCTGAAGTTCTGGAGAACCTCCTGAGACCATCACCCCAGGCAGCAGAACGGAAGCTGGTCGGGAAATGTTGGGAATTGCAGGACCTCCTTCTGTTTGACCATGCATAGGACCTTGCCCATTACAATCCTTTGTGCTATTCTAGTAAAATCAATGCTTTGTGCACACCTGGCTCATATTTGTCTGTTCAAATATCCCATGCAAGATTTGAACAAGGTGTCATTGGTCCAAGCTCAACGCTCCACTGTTTCTGAATCCAAAACTGGTTGACTGGCGGTAGAACCAGGGCAGATAAAGGGAGTTGTGTCTTCACACAGTGCATAAGCGGTGGGATTTGCAATTACAACATTCTAGCAGGTGTTAGACTGGTTTGGGGGGGTTTGAAAGAAGACTGGGCACATTTGCAGAGGATGAGGCTCTCCATGCCCACTAGTCTGGTGGCTGCACACAGTGTGCAGGATCATGGGCAGTGTGCATCCATTGCTGGGGAACATGGGCAAGAGGGTGCTGTTGCACCCACTTCCTGCCTGTGAGTTTCCATGGGCTGCTGGTTGTCCATGAAGTGGACTAGATCATCCTTCTCAACCTCCGGACATGTTTGGACCGCAACACCCAGGATTCCCAGGCAAAGGCCCTGCTGGATGGGGATCCTGGGAGTTGTGGTCCAAATGCCTCTGAGGACCACAGGACTTTAGTCTGATCCAACAGGGTGGTTCTTACGTTCTTATAGTCTTGGCCCCCGATAGTCTTTGTTGTTGCTTTCTTATACCCTCCCAAGAATTCCCACAGACTTTTACAAGACTAGCAGAAGATTAGGTCAGGAGAGAAATGGTAAGGAATTCTCTTTCTCTCTCCCTGCCACCCGCTCCTTCCTACCTCCAGCTTTGCCTCAATTTTTTCAACATCCGGAGTCCCAGACTGTGATGGAAAATGGCACGGCCCACTTCAAGTGTCGGATCGAAGGCCTTCCTCCTCCGGGGATCACCTGGGAGAAGGACAATGTGACTGTACCTCCTGATCCCAGGTAGATTGCATTTGAGTAACAAGTGTGCACCAACTGTTTGACTTGGCGATGGAGACTTTAACTTGCAGACTGGCAGGTCGATTTATTTGGTAGTTTTTAGCGACTGAGCCCTGCTCAAGGAGAGGTTGCTGCTTTCCAAGGCCCTATACAGCTCAGGATGAGGTTATTTGAAGGACAAGCACAATTATTTGAAGGCCGTGTCCACCTTCTCTCCCATGGGCTGTCCTGGCCTACTGAGCCTTGTTCGGAAGGCGGTCTTCTTGGTTGTGGCACCCTTCCTGGGTAAGGAAGGCGCCCTTGAGATCAGGCCAGCTCCAGGTGCGAGGAATTTCTGCCACCAGCTTGAAACATCTCTCTGGGCACAGGTATTTCCCTGACAACAAGAGGTGACTGCTCTCTTAAAGAGATGCCAATGTTTGTTGTTATAAAGATCAGCATCCTGGCGTTTTGTTGTCATTTTGTCTTGCAAATCACTTTGGGTTCCAAAAAGGAAAATGAGAAGCGGCATGGAAAGGCTCTGAAAGGAGACAGAGAAGGCCCGCTCTGAAAGCCGTAGGTTCATGTCTTCCCCAAAGAAAACCTGGCTGGCTCAGTGATGCCGAGCGCTGCCATCAGGCCCATGGGCAGCTGGAGGTGGCCGGCGTGCCGGGCCCCTGCCTCTGGTCCCGTTCTCTCCTCTGGAGCCAGCGGGAGCCCCGGATGGGGATGTTCCGCGCGCTCTCCAGGGCAGAAGGCACAAAGGCTTGCACGGTTCGTGCCAAGGCGGGGATGCGTGGGCACAGCCGCTGGCTTGGACGGGGCGGGCGGCTTGCCATCGCCGGGACAACAGCGCTCCCAGGTCTGCTTTCTTTGTGTCCGCCCGCAGAACAAGCCAGCTATTGAGGAGGGTTTCCCGAGGACAGGCCCGCTTCCAGCAGAAGGGGCCGCCTGGAGCGGTTTGTGGGAGCCTGGAGGGCAGTTTAAATGGCAGGAGCAGTTGTCTTTTTTAGCATTCTGAATGTCGCAACGTTAACTGCTCGGTTATTGCTTTCAGGTTTGGTGGCTTAGAAATTACTTCTGTGGGACGAGCCAGTCACAACCCTTGACGGCCAGCCTTGATTTTGAATGGGTTGATATTCCTACCTCCCCACCGATGAGTTAGCCCGAATTTTTGTCTAAGACCCCAACCTTGGACTTGCAGAGGGCTTGCTAACGTTTGCGGTTCACTGAAGCCGTGTCGCTACACATCTAACCAGCTCCAGTTTGGGAAGTGCTAAAGCAACAAGCAGGGAGCAAACCGGGGTTATAAAATCACCATCTGTGTTGAGAGGGTGAAAAAGGCGAAATTTTCGCTCCTGCAAAATTCGCACAGCTGCTAGAACCTGTACAGTGGGCGGAGGATCCAGATTATCTGAGCTGAGCAAGCCCTCGCAATTCCTCCGGCTTTGCGTAATGTGTTCTGCAATTCTGGCTGAATGCCAAAAATATTATTTTGCAACACTTCTGAGATTTCAGCAGGTGCTGGCCAAATTCTTTCAGGCAACGAGGACTAGAAACCTGCTGTGTACCTGCTGTGAGAGCAGAGGGACTCAGAAAACTGGATTTTAAGGCCATGGAATTGCAGCACACACACAACCTTGGCAGGACAAACGAGAAGTAGCACCTCTTCCTCTAACCCATGAATTATTTGGGCAGTGAGTTGCCCGGCTTTTAAGGTGAATAGGTAGCAATGACTAGAAATATAAGCCTCTCATGCCCCAACAGAGCCACTCTTTGTGGGGTTCCCTGGGGTATCTGGCCACCCACCAGTTCGACAGTGTTTCCCTCCTGCAGCTTTCAGTTTGGATCTGTGAGTCGTCCAAAGTGCTGGAAGCGAGGGGACGAACGTGCCCTGGGACCATGCGGATGAGCATTTCGATTCCTTCCCTTTGATTCCCACAGATTTATTGTTCTCCCAAACGGTATCCTCCAAATCATAGATGTGAAGAAGCGCGACACTGGGGTGTATCGTTGCGTGGCCAGCAACAGTGCGGGGAAGCGCTACAGCTCCGGCGCCACTCTCAGCCTCCTGAAAGGTAAGGCCTTCCAGCAACATCTGGTGCTCTGCATTCAGGTTGCTGGATGCCTTTTCCTCTGCCAAAATCTGGAGGGGAGGAAAGGGAAGGAGTTCTCTGGGCTGTGGATGTACAAGTGCTCCCTCTTGGCTGAAACTGCAGATTTCAGGCACCGAACAACTTTGTGGTTGCCGATCTGTGACTGTATGTCGTGTAGGGAGGCGCTTACGTCCCCAGTTTAAATCTCAGCCGCCCAAGCGGCTCCCTTCCAGCACCAGCTTCCTCCCACCCGCAAGAAGGGCAGGATAATAGTGACGTGAACTAAGAATTCTGAGTAGCATTACAGTTTTTGTATACAGCAATAGATGCAAGCAGTGAGGAATCAAGTTTCCCACCCCCCGGGGTTCACACTGCAAAACGATGACAGGAGTAAGAGCAAAAGAAAGAGGGATCACGGTGGAGCAGTCAAACGTGTACCTACTTAAGTTGAGGATGCCGCCTTGCGTGGGGACACTGCCAGGTCGTGTACCTAGTGTGGGGAGGCCGCCAGCCTCCGTGTGGACACTTCTGAGGGCTTCCTTCAGAGGCAGCTTTGCTCTTCCTGAAGGAGCAGGCATCAATTTAGACCTGGCTTGGAGGGTAAGGTGGGTGGATTCCAGGCGCTTGCCTTTGATGGATGAGATTGAACTAGGGAAGGGATCCAGGTGGAAGCCACGGACATTCATGGTTGCTAAGTACTGTTGGTTCTGTTCTCACCTGTGGAAAATGGGTGCTTCTGGGCATCCGAGAGAGCTTATCCCCCTTCCACATCCACGCTTTGGTTCTCAGTGTGTAGACCTGTGATTTTCAGACTTTCTGCCTTCAAGGAACGCTTTCTGGAGCATTTCAGGTGCTGGGCATCTCCTCGGCACTTGCAGGTGGGCTCAGGTGTGCTTTCTGGAGGGATCTTGGCCTTCCTGCACACTCCTGTCCTCTGGCCATGAGCATCTTTTGTTCTGGGCAGGCCTTGCATGAAATGGTCGCCAACCACACCGCTCTCTCCTTTGCCAGTGACTGCATTCATTTTGTCGTCGTTTTCCTGGGAATGCTGTGGGATTTCTGGATTTCTGTGTGGCTTTTGTTTGAAGCTGTTCTTGGTTACGTTTCAGCAATGGGTTTGTTTGATTGTGCGGCCCTGTTCAACATTTTGGGAGGTTTGCTTGTCTTTAAGGATGCAAGTTTAGACAGAAAAGCACACTACAACTCCCAATTTTGTGTCTAAACTTGCATAGGATTGGGTCTTTCTTTGTTTAGCGATGATGCTTTACATGACTCTATTTGCCGTCCTGAATGTTTGAAAAAACTAGAGTATTTTTTTAAAATATCTGGGTAGATCTTGGTGGTGCAGAGCTTAGGCTGTTGGACAAGGATTGGGGAGATCCAGGTTCTAGTGTCCACTGGGACGTAAAGGTGCCTGGGTGACTTTGGACCAGTTCTTGCCTCTCAGTCTAGCCTACCTTGCAGGGTTGTTCTGAGACCGAAACGGAGAGGAGGAGAGCTGCCTTGGGCTCCTGGCAAGGAGAGGAGAGGCAGGGCATGAATGCAGCGCGATGACACACAGCCAAGCAACTCTTCCTGGATGGCCAGGGAGGGGGCTTCGCTCCTTCGTGGATCGTAGGGCTACGAGGACGAACTGCAGCCGGGGTTGCTGCTGAGCAAATGGCAGATGTTTCGGGCCCGGCAGACTTAACAGTTTAAATTTCCAGACGCTCCTTGGGGAGCCGCATTCCGCATGGGTCTGAGGATCTGGGAGGCTTTAAAGCAGTTCTTTCCCTAAAATGGAGAAGTTGTTGTCATGTGGAGGAACTATTTTGCTGTGGAGTAATGCTGGTTGTGTAAAGTTTCCTTCCAGGGCTCAGATGAGGGGATCAAGGACTCCCCCCCTCCCTTGTTTGTCCTTAAGTGTGACACTAACTACTAAGCCAGCCAGCCACCTTTAAGCTCTCCACTGACTAAACTTCTTCAGGGCAGTAGATACTCGTCACCATCTCTGTGTGTGTCTGTGGTAGGGTGGGCAACAAAAATGTAGTACCATATGCAGAATTTAGCTTCCTAGAATCCCTGCCTTAAGCGTAATTTCTAAAAGCAAGTTTCTAGTCCTTATGTCCTTGAAAATATGGCTGAAAGTATGTGGACACCAATAGCTGACATCTCAACATTGTGTGGTACGGGGGAGTGATTGAAAAAAAAATTCATATTTTATGGTGGATCTCACCTGGTGTGTTTCCCCCCCCCCCATTAAAGGAAGTCCCCAGGATTTATTTTTCCCTGGGGGGGGGGGATCAGGGTTAGAAAAAAGCTGCTAATTCAGTTCTGCTTACTTCCAAGTAGATCAACAGAAGCCCTCACCTGCTTACATCTGAGTAGGCATAAAATTAGTGAGACTCACATTTGGCTTGGTCCATGCTGCCTTTGGCCAAATCCATTTCCCTTTGGCCCTTTGGAGAAGAGTACTTTAAATACTAGTGAAACTGCCCTTTCCCTGCCATGGGAGATGGGCCAATCGCACAGGTGCTGTGCAGGTGTTTGGCCAAAACTGCCTGTACCTGTCTGAGGCAGAAGCCTCCCATTCTGACCATTCTGGTGCTAATATACTGACCGGCAGGGGTAATGGAGCCCTCTCTGGACCTGCCCATTCAGGTGCACCTTGGACAGGTGGATGCGGTCAGAAACTATGTGAGAAGAAGGTGTTTGCTGTGCCTGGCAGATGATTCTTCGCCCACTGATTAATTACAGCAATTAATTACATCAGGTCAGCAATTAAAAACAGCAACTTTCTTGTCCCAGTGGCCTCTCTGCGGCTGCTTATTTAGCGTGCCTAGACAGCAAGCGCGCTGGGGTTCGGCTGATGCTAGACCGGTGGCAGGCCTGGGCTTCCTGGGGAACTCTTTAGCTCCCTGGGGCAAAGATTCAGGATAACTGAGTTATAATGCTAGGCGGTGGGTGAGGCGGGGGGATCCTCCTGCTTTGGGGCTGTGCTGAGCTGGCGCTTTCTTCCTTCCCTTTCCCTCAAGCAAACGTGGACTCTTGCGGAGGATGTGTCCCCTCTCTAGGTCCCTTCCGCCACGGGTGGGGTCCCCCTGCGGGCCACTGGGTCCTGTCACTTTGCCACACCCCAGAAAAGGCCCTGTTTTGGCTGCAGCTGTAGCCGACCCTCGGATCTTGCAGGCGGATGTGATTAAGAAACCCGTTCCTTGTGGGTCGTGGCCGCAGTGAGCTGCCGGTTGAAATTGTGCTTGCTGAGTGTTGTCCTCGGTAACTGCCTCATCACCCCCATCCTTGGGGAGCCTTCCCGGTTCCCCAAAAGGCCCGTAGGTCAGGTGCCTTCCTAGCCCTGCAGCAAAGGGACAAGCAGAGATGGCCGGGGGAACAGCCAGCCGATAACCCCGGGCCTGTTTGCTGGCACCCGTTTTGCATGCAGAGGCTGCTGGGAATGGCCCGGACCCCCTTCCGTGAGCTGAGGCGAGCCCGCAGAGTCTTCTTCCGCTGTGAAGTAGGAACCTGCCCACCCCGTCTGCCTCCACCTGGCCTCCCTTGCATCCCGAAGAGAGCCGTCCACAGCCATTGGAGGCGAAGGGGATGCCCGAGCAGACTCCTGCGAGGCGCTGACGTGTCTGCATGTGTCGTTTATGCCTTCCTCCAAGCCCCGGGCCGGCTGCTCCATCGCCGCCCCACCCACTCCACCTCCATGCTTTACGCTGAGCACAACCCGTCCGGAAGGCCAGGCCATCCCCTGGAGAACCCATCACCTAGTTTGGGTCTCGTGGATGCTGGTCCGACGGCGCCGGTGGCACGGTAGGCATCCCGGGCGGTTCTCGGGAAGGCGGCACTGTCGTTCGTGCCCCCTGCGTCCTGCTCCAAGCCCCTCGAGTTCCAGCTGGGCGTAGCAGTGGGGGGGGGTGGGGGCAGGCCGCCCATTTGGCCCTCAGCTGTCAGCAGCTGAGATGGGAGGCAACTGAGCAGCGCCGCACGCTTTGCCGTGAACTTTCTCACCCTTTCCCCGAAGAGGAGCTTGAATCCTACTGAGCCGCCAAGAATCCCCCCCAGGAATAGATTCAAGCTTTGAGCAGCTGTTCAGCCGGGTTGGGCAGGGGGAGGAACAGGGATCTGTCCGTGATTTCTCTTCCATTATTCCTCAGCAAGCAAGAATCCAGTGGCTGTTGTAGGGCTTGGAAAACTCTGCCCTTCTTCTCCTGCCCCTTCTAGGGAAGCTGCCATGCACTGTGCTTTAGAGGAAACAAGGGCCCAGAGGAGGAAAGGCTTTTAAAATCCCTTCTTTCTTAATCTTTAGGTTTGCATGCTTTCACTTGTTTAATCAACAGATTAAGTCATGGAAACAAGGGATGGGGGGAAGCGCTTGTTAATCAGTGAGGGGAGCTGGTAATCAATCGGCAAGGCTGAGAATTATGTGTATGTCCCTTTGCAAGAAGGAAAATGCCAAACGAAGTGGCTTAAGCTGCCTCCCCTTTTAAGACGAAGCAGCTTGCAGCTGCTGCTTGGCCCAGGAGCCATTTTGCTCTGGATTCGGCTTCTCAGAAAGGGGCGAGACTGAGCTGAGTAGTGAGTGGTTGATGCGGCTAAAAGGCAAACGATCAGCCCTGAATTCTGTAACAGATACAAGCATTTGGGTTTCTGTAACTTTACTGGGCCACTTTATGGCTCCTGTTGTTTGTGGTTAAGGTCGGACAGGGGGAAATAAGGGGAAGAGAAAACAGGGATGGGAAGTGCCCGGAGCTTAAGCAGGAAAACTCCAGGCAGGTTCCCTGGGGGGCCATTGTCGGCTGGGGGGGGAAGGAGTGGAACCAGGGCTTGGGGGGGGGGGGGGGGGGGGGTCGAAAGGCCAGGATTCACCCAGCACCTCATGGACTCTCAATGCCCCCTGAGCTTAGTCATGGCTGGAGGGGATGGATTTCCACGCCTGCAGGCAAACAGGGATGGATTGTTTTGGAGCTGGTTTGCTGCTTCACAGACCTTGAGATGTCTTTCTCCATCAGAGCTGGTGGCTGCAAGTGTGATAAGGAGAACCTGCGTTTTGGGCCCCTCCTTACAGGAAGGATATAGCCAGGTTAGAGCCAGTGCAGCGTAGGGCCAGAAGGCTGGTGGCCGGTTTGCAGGGGATGCTGTATGGGGCGAGGCTGAGGGAACTGGGTCTCTTCAGCCTGGAGAAGAGGAGACTCAGAGGGGATCTGTTGGCACATACAGGCATGTGAGGGGGTGTCACACGGAGATGGGTAGAGACCTGGACGCACTCCAGTGGAGCTAAGCTCAGGGAGCCAAGGTTCCATTCGGATGCCAGGAAGCCCTTCCTGACACTCAGGACCCCGAGGGTGTGGAATGGACTTCCACGAGAGGTCGTTGAGGCCCCATCAGGGCGGGTGTTCAAGGACAGGCTGGACGTGCACATGGTGGGCATGTCGTGAGTGGAGCCGGCTGGAGCCGGGGGTCAGACTAGATGGCCCGGGAGACCCCTTCTGACTCGCTCTGTTTCTGTGTTTCTCTGCATTCAAACCTCCCCTGAGACGAAGCTGCAGGGCAGCCTCGTGCACCAACTTTCTTCACGGGGTTGCTGCGAGCAGGAAAGGCGACTGTCCCGGCACGCTTGAGGAATGGGGGACGAGGAGCCTGTTCACATTCCGTCCAACGAGTGTGAAGCGTAGCACGGGTTGGGGCTGTGAAAACGGGACCTCAGTGGCTGGTCCTTCATCAGCAAAGCATCTTCAGTGCACTAGCTGATTCTTTCTTGCAGATGGAATTTGGGTGGGTCTCCATCCATTGTGTAGAAAGAGCTATGCATTTATTTATTAAATTTGTCTAAAAGCTGCCTGTTGACATCCTGCTCTCTGGGTGGTCGTTACAATAAAAATCAATAATTAATAACAGAACACAGTTAAAATACTATACTAAAGAAACAAGATGAAACACAAGACGTGCAGTCGGACAAACTGTAAATTAACAAAATGAATAAATGGAATTGAAATTAAAGCTAGTGCCGACACCAAAGATGGTCTAAGCGGTGCCACAGGTGCGTTGCAGGAGAAAAGTTTTGGTCAGGTGCCTAATTCTCCATAAAGTCAGCACCTGACGGCTCGCCGATGGCGAAGCGCTCCGCAGCACAGAGAGGGTGCCGAGGTGCAGGGGTGACCTCTCTGTGTCGCCCTGGGACTCAGGAAGGTGGGTTTGAGGCCCCACCTGGCCAGGAAGCTGAGTGGGTGTCTTTGGACCGGACCCGGATGCTCAGCCTAACCTCCCTCACGAGGCCAAGACAGAGAGGAGAGTTACGCAAGCAGGAAAGGGAGGGAACTACAACCGGTGCGGCTGCCGCATCGGACTTGGAAAACACACAGAAATGCGGTGACTTCCTTGCTATTTTCCGGGCTTTGTCGTGCCAGGTAACCCTCTGCCAGCGACTGGGGACGTCGCCATTGTCGCTGCCCCCGAGAATGCCACCGTGGCGGTCGGAGAGAGCGCGGTGATGGCTTGCATGGCTGTCGCCAGTCCCAGCCCGTTTGTCTCTTGGATACGGGAAGGTAAATTAAAACAGTTGCTTTTCTGGGGCGACTCGGGACCCTCCCGCACGGAGGTCCTTCTGAAGGGGAGCGATACGACCTGCCCTGCAATACCAGGGTTTCTAAGTTGAGCTTGCCAAGGAAAGCGACACGAAGCATGCCATTTAGTTATGTTGTTTGATCTGCAAAAGATGCGGAATCCAAGTTACTGGATGCCTTTTGATCTAATTTAGTCACGGCCGATCTCAAATGTCGCCCCAGCTTAAAAGGTTGGGACACAAAGGCCGGGCCCTCGATGGGGTTTTGGCGGGGACTTCTCAGGGGTGTGGTAATTTTGGTGCATCTGTTGGTGCATTAGCAAAAAATAACTGTTCATTTAACTTTTGGAATATAAGATGTGATCAAGATCGCGGAAGTCGGTCGGGCTGGAAAAACAGAATGGGGGGGTGTGGTGGTTTGAAAGCAAGGTGACCTTTCTTTACTGAAGGAAAGGCGGCGTGTGAATTTGGGCTCAAATTTGGCACAGATCAGAAGGTACAGCAGCAACGCCTATAGCAGATTGGGCTCCCATGGCAGGTTTGGAGATCAGTCAGACATTTAAAGGCAAGTAAAGCCTTGAACATTGCGGTGTGAGGGATTAATTTGGATACATTATTGTCACACGTGCCTCACTTTTTTTTGCTGAATGGTATTTTGAGGGTGTGAGCATCTACGGATTGATCTTTGCACGTTCCAGTCACGCCAACATGTCTCTCTGTCACTCGGGATGGAGGTTGTGCAGTCCTGCAAGGATGCAGAGCAGAATGGCCTTTCCGAGGTGGCCCTTGGGTCTAGAGAGAGAAAACGGGGTGCGGAACCCTGCCCAAGCCACCGAGGGCAGGATCCCGCAGGGCTTGGAGGGGAGCGGGCAGTTCCCCCTGCTGGTCTCCCCCATGTGGATTTGACGGCTGTTCTCCCATCCCTCCGTTTTGGCAGATGGGAGCCCCATTTCCACGGATGTGATTGTGTTGGGACAGACGAACCTCCTGTTCCCCCACGCCCAGCTCCATCACACGGGCGTCTACGTTTGCCGTGCCAACAAGCCGCAGACAAGGCAGTTTGCCACCGCTGCAGCCGAGCTCCTGGTCCTTGGTGAGCAGGTGGAAGGAGCCGCTTCTGTGCTTCCGTGAAGCTGCGGAAGTGCTCTGGTGCCAGCCTTGGGTAGCCCTCCGGCTGGTTGCGTGGTGGAGGTCGCGTTTCTGCCTGCTGCAGTCTGAGGTCCCGGGACTTGCTCCACTGGGAGGGAGCAGAGGAAAGGGGACGGCTTGGCTCACTTTGGCCAAGGGAAGATGTGTTGCTTCTGCTCCTCTGATTAGGCTGGGAGGTTCCCACCAACTTTAGAGGACACAGCTACCATTTATCCCGTTGTATTATGTTCAGAGTGGTGAACTTTAGGCCTGGGACCAAATCTGGCCCTCTGGGTTTCCTCGGATGGTCCCGCTCCCTTCCTCCCAACCATCAATCATTTTGCAAGTTCCCAGCTTTTCATAGAATCATAGAAGAGTAGAGTCAGAAGGGGCCATGAAGGCCATCGAGTCCAGCCCCTGCTGGTGCAGGACACCGAGTCACTCCATCCCACTCAGACGGCTGCCTGGTTTCGCCTTGAATGTTCCAGCTCCGCTCGTCTAGGATTCTATGAAGAGATGCTAGTCTTGACCCCCCATTGGCCCTTGGCTCTTCCCTCAGTGGAATGCAGCCCCCGAGGGCTTCATTGGCCCTTGGGAGAAAGAGGCTCCCCACCCCCATGCCGTCCCCCGAGCAGCCCTGCTGGCCATGAGAGACCCGAGCGGGGTGCTGACTGAGATCTCCTTTCCCTCAGCGCCCCCTACCATCTCCCAGGCTCCTGAGAGCATTTCTCGGACCCGAGCCAGCACTGCCCGATTTGCCTGCAAAGCCAACGGCGAACCAGCTCCCAGCATCCACTGGGTGAAGAACGGGGAGCCTCTTCTGTCGAAAGGACGGGTGAAGATTCAGAGCGGGGGCACCTTGGTGGTCAACCAGATTGGGCTGAAGGACGCGGGCTACTACCAGTGCGTGGCGGAGAACCCCCTGGGCGCGGCGTGTGCCACAGCCCGGCTGGATGTGATCGTGCGGGAGGGCTTGCCGAGTGCCCCCAAGAGGGTGTCCGCTCGGTCTCTCTCCAGCACCACGGTCTTGGTGTCCTGGGAGCTGCCGGAGTTCAACAGCGAGCAGATAATTGGCTTCTCGCTGCATTACCAGAAAGCTTCGGGTAGGTAACCTGCGTTCTGGGGAGCACCCTGTTTGTGAGAACCCCGACTCAGGTCTTTGGGGAGGGTGTCCTTGCCACAGAGGAATCAGCCCTCCTCAGCCTGGGCCCCTCCTGCTGCGTTGGCCCTCAGCTCCTGTCCGTCTCAGCCAGCCCAGCCAGCGGCCGGGAGCGTTAGGAATTGTCTGGAGCATCTGGCACAGGAGCGCTTGGCAGAGGTCTTTAAATCTGTCGGTCCCTCTGTTGATTTGCCCTCGGGGCAGGTTGCTTCTCCGTAGCAGCGGCTGTGTCCACATCCTCCTCACAGGGTTCCTGTTGGGGCAGCCGGTTGGCCCCGGGGGGACAGGCTAATGGCTTAAACCGGGCTTTGGATCCTCCAGCACGGCTCCTACAGTCTTTCTCCAGCAGAGCTTAACTCAGTCAAGTCCTAGGTCCAGAACCAGGTCAGGCGCTTTTGGTTGGTCACTGTGAGAACAGCCCTCTGGACCTTTGGCCTGATCCGTCACAGTGCTTTTAATGCTTCTGTGCACTGCTTCTTCCAGCACAAAATACGCATTTTACTCAGACTTAAATCTTGCTGTATCCAGTGGGTCTAAGGCACTAGTGTAAACTAGTTATATTGGACTATATATATTGGATTATATTGGACTGCCACCTTGAAACCATTAACATAGGTTGAAAACAGCAGCCTGTGAAATGCAGGGGCTAAGCCTTCCATAGTTAGTTCATTGATTACTTAGATTAATCAATTAGAAATTAATTACTCCTGATTACCTAGGACAGGACATATTAAAAATTGTATTTAATATGATTACTTACCCAAAACACCCACCTGGGTGACAAACGCAATTTTAGAAGAGGTCTTCTCCTTTCTGGTGCCTCTTCGTGGCAGGGACAGCCAAGAGTGCCTTTATTAAAAACGGAAGAACAGTAGCTTTTTAAAATTATTTTGGACTTTTGATGGCATTCCTATGTGGGTGGGTCTCATGTGATTGATTGATGAATCAAGCAGTTAAGCGCTTGACATCCATGAGACGAAGCCACCATTGTTCTGAAATGGGTGGCAACCCGGTTTAGAGTTTCAGAGGGTTAGGGTTAGGGTTTGTTTCCCTTTCCCCAACGGGGGTGGAGATGTGGGGAGAGAGTCTAACACATCCGAGGACATCAGATTGGAGAAGGCTGCTTTAGCCTGTTTTAACCAACCTTCTGTTCATACATGGGTGAACCCTGCAGCGATCAGTAAAAGGAAAGAGACTTAGATCTAGGCCAAGTTAGTTGAATTTTGTTCCCATTGAAATCAGTGTGGCGCGTGTTAGCCCTGGCTTAAGTTGCATTGATTTTTGTGGGAATTAAATTCCAGTAGCTTAACCTAGATCCAGTCCAGAGACTGCCTGTCTCCTCTCCTAACCCACACTCCCCATTTCCTTGCACATAAAGGAAGGGATCTCTCATATTCTGGACAGATGACAATATCTTAAATCTTATTTTGTATCTTGGAGAAGGCGGGGAAGCAAAACAGGAATGCCTTGTATTAATCTCCTATGAACTTAAAGTCACGCAGCCCGCTTCTCACCTGAATTCAATTTTGGGGAAGTTCTTGGGGGGCACATCCTTGGGGGTGGGAGCAGGCCCAAATGCCAAAGAGGTAGGCCAGAAATGCCATGCTCTTGTCATGTAAAGATCGAGCTGGGGGTAACTGGCCACAGGAGATGCGTGTTAGTGCCAAGAATAAGGAGGGACGGGAGGCAAGGCTGGGAAGCCAGCAAACGATGAATGGATGGGCGGGCCCTGGGCAGGGGGCATTGGTGCACCTGAGAGGGTAGATTTGATGGGCCAGGTCTGGCTTGAGCCCTGCACGTCCCTTCTCCCTTTCCACACTACAGGAGCCCCTTTGCGCAGTGTAGTTTCCAGGGCGTCCTCCTGAAGTGCAAGACCATTAATACGGAATCTGCTGCTCCCTCGTCCTGTTCTCATGCTGAGCAGGGTGGGCTGTGATCCGTTTCCTTCCTCCGTACAAGGTTCAGAAAGATGCTGAGTGAGGGCGGCTAAGCCACCTGAACAGTAAACAGGGAGAAAGATGCACTGGAATTTTGGCACACTTCTTGGAAGAAGCTAGTTTGAAGGCAGGCAAAACTTTTCTCCCCTTTTGGCCTGACGGCATCGTGTACCTTCTCTAGGCACCAACAACGTGGAGTACCAGTTCGCGGTGAATAACGACACGACCGAGTTCCAGGTCAAAGACTTGGAGCCCAGCACGAGCTATGTTTTCTACGTCGTGGCGTACTCGCAGCTTGGGGCAAGCCGGACCTCTTCTTCCATAAACGTGCAGACGTTGGAGGACGGTTTGTAGAACAGGGACAGAAGAGGTGCTCCTGAAAGGTTTCCCGACCCACACGGGTGGCCCGTTTTAGGCAGGCCTGCAAAAAGCCAGCTGCCCTTAAGTGGCATTTGCAGTAAGGCGAGGTGAATGCGCTGGACAGGTAAAGGAGGTTCCAAAACCAAGGGGGTGCCCCTTCGCTTTGTTCATAAACGACCGGTGGAAATCTTTCCATGCGATGCCGCGTGCCTTAATGAGTGCATTGAGCACGCTTAAAAACAAGATCAAGGCTAGTTTCAAAGATAAACATCTTCAGGACGCCACTTTTGCTTCGCTGCTTGGTGTGGAGCGAGGTATTTAACTTAGCCGTTTGGTGACGGTGCTGCCGAATTACCTCCCTACTTTCTGCTTCCCCACATCACCTCACTAGCAGCCGTTGGTAAGGAGAACGCTGAGCCAGACAAACCCTTGACTTGGCCCAGCAGGTAATTTGCTTATATCCTTACAAAGAGCATCATGAGAGATGCTATGAAAGCAATTTGGACTGCAGTGCATCTCCATGACATTTTGTGTGCTCCATTGCATCCCATTCATGCAGAGGAATTCAGGAGAAAGTTCTCCTGAGCATGTGCAAATTGCCTCAGCCTCTCCCAAAAGGAAGCAAACAGGTGGTTCACAGATGCCTCCTTTAGTCAGCAGAATTAGATGCAAGCTGTGAACCCCAGGGCAGTGCCGCCCCAAACCATGAACAGCCGCCTTTTGGAGGTTGCCAGCACAGGAAAGAAGCTGCCCTGTAGTGACCAGGTTACAGGACCCATGAAGCGCTGCTAGTTTATAACCAGTGGTGCTTTAGTGTATTGTCTGAACCCAACAGTCTTCCCCTGGCGTGGTTTGTAAACTGAGGTTTGCTTTTGGGTGTGATAAAATCACCATGGTTTACTGTGCCATTCAAGATGGGGAAATGTCAGGGGAATTGCACAACTGTCCCCCAAAACACTTTTGGAAGGCGTCTTGGGTATTTTAGGGCATCCACAGTACACCTGTGTTATTTGTCCTTGGAAAAGTGAGGGTAACCCTCCCAACTCCCCCTCCCGACCCCCAGATCATGCGGCAAAGCATGTTTTCCTCCCTTTTTTAAAAACCTGGGGAAAAGAGCAATGGGCTGCAAAGCTGCAGTTTGGCTGGGACATTTGCCAAATTGACTCTGTGCAATTCGGATCCCAAGGGGTTTAGTGCCATGTGCAGACCCTTCCACTGGGTTGGATTGCTGTGGCTCGGGGGTCTTTCCCAGCCCTGTGCGAAGACACCGAGCGCTTCCTGCCCGCAGGTCCTGCTCGCTTCCCTGGGGGTGAGGCAGTCACTGGTTTTATCACTTGCCCCCCAGTCCCCAGCGCTGCTCCTCAGCTTTCGCTCTCCAGTACGACGCCGACGGATATCAAGGTGACGTGGCTCCCTCCGCCCAAAGAGCTGAGCAATGGGAAGATCACCAAGTACAAAATTGACTACATGCCACTCAAGGAAGGTGAGGAAGAGGCCGTTCTGGGGCCGAAAATGTGGTCCGGTGGAGCCTTTTGCTGTAAAATAAAGGCCTCCGGAGGCTGCATTGGAAATAGCAAGCAGGATTGTGCTGGCGGTTAGCCATGTGAACACCTGAACGTGAGCCGTGCCACCTGGCAGGGCACCTCACAGATGCGAATATGTGTACCTTGAGAAGGTGGAGGTCAGACAGTGTGAATGCTGTGCCTAGGTAGACGCCAGGAGAGCGTTCTGTCAGCCGGAGGACAGAATGGAAAGACTCTCTCCGGTCATCCTCACCCCTTCCAAAAGCGGAGACGCCTGGAGAAGGCTCCCAAGTTAGCCCAGAGGAATGTCCTGCAGTGGGAGGCCCAGAAACCCTTTGCATGACTCTCGGGGCCAGATGGGATGGGAGAGAAGCTTGGTGTTGGCAAGGGGCTGGCGTCAAGGGGGTGAGAAACGGGGCCTTCCGCACCCAAGTTCCCTGCAGTGGTTCAGCCCGTTTGGCTTAACGCTCCTCCAAGGCGAGAAGACCCCTGCAAAGGGCAGGAAGGGGGGGTGCCTCGGCGTCTCGGGCCATTCCGTTCTGCCCCCCTTCCCCAACAGTGCAAATGTCACGCTAGGACAGGAAGGTCCCGCCCCAAGTCCCCACTCCGCCACGGTGCGGACAGGAGACGGCGAGCACCCGGACTCCATGCAGCCCACTGTGTGGGTTTTGAAAAGAGAAGAGCCGGAAAGACGATGAGCGCTGCCTTTTGCTCCTTGGAGGGGAAATGCATAAAATTTTGTGGACCAGGACAGGCGCGTGGGAAATGGGTGATGTTTGGCAAGGTCATGGGTAATGTTCTCGTCCATCGCTTACCGTGGAGTTTTGCTTGGTGAGCTCGAGGAATTTGGGGGGATGCCCAATAAGGGGTGGCATTTCCCAGCCTCTTAGACTGAGGGCCCCTCTGTGTTGTGGCCTGGGGACACACCACCTAGACGGAGGAGGAGGGCAAGCTGTTTGCAGAAGGCATTGGGCTCTCTCTTCCCAACAGACCTGATCTCCTCAACCGAGGTTGGTGCCAATGAGACGCAGCTCACCCTTTCTGCCCTGCACCCTAATAAGGTCTACAAGGTGCGGATTGCGGCGAGCACCAGCGTGGGCTTTGGAGTCCCGTCGGAATGGACACAGCACCGTACCCCGGACAGAGACAACCAGACACACGGTGTGTAGCCCTCGCTTCTGCTCAGCCCACGTTCTTTGAGTTGAAGGCCAGGGCTGTGCGGGACGCCATTCGGGATTTGTAGAAACTGTCACAGTTCATGATTAGGACGCTTCTGGAAGCCAGGAGATGAGAAGGTGGCCTGAGAGAAGCAGTGATGGAAGGAGCCCTTCTCACTCGCTTCTCTTTGTATTTGGCAGCCTGCAACTGCCTAGTTTCCAGAGGGGCTTCCAACAATATAAAAGAACAAGTCCAAGGTAAAAATGCATGAAAACAACCTCAGATGTCAATGGCAAGTAAGAACAGCAAAGGAGCTGCATAGGAGTACCTGGGAGAACAGAAAGGTTTTACCGAGCACAGGTGGGCAGCCGGGGTCTCCAGAAGCCCCGTGCCTCCTCCTCATTGGCCATGTGGCTGATGGGAGTTGTAAGCCAGGCTCTCTGGAGGGCACAGGTTTCTGCACTTCTGGCCTGAGAGGGAAATATCGGGGCTTAATAAGTCTCTTTGAGAAGGAAGACTCTCATAATCGGTGCACCAGAGCCGAACAAGCCAACTCCCTGGTCAACATGTTGGTGGAGGAAGCGTTTGGCGAACCAGCAGCTCTAAGAGCTGGATCGGGGAATCCCCGTTCGACTGTCTTCGAGCTGCCGGCCATTGCAGGCCGGAGGCAAACATGGGCACGCTTGATGGCGTTTCAGCAAGCGTGCACAGCTGGAGCGGGGAGGGTCGAAGTTGCAGACATGCTGGAGATCCCCTGAGGTCCCTTCGAGCAACATGCATCTAATGCTTTGTTCATTTCTTCCTGCTTTCCTTAGTTCCATCTGCCCCGACCGAGTTGAAGGTCCAAGCAAAAATGGAGTCCCTCCTTGTGAGTTGGCAAGCTCCTGCCAGCCACGCCCAGATTTCAGGGTACAAACTCTACTACCGAGAAGCCGCTGCGGAAGAGGCGAGCGAAGAGGGCCACTCCGAAGGCACTGGTGACGGCCCTTGGGATGTGGGGCCAATCAGGCTGAAAAAGAAGACCAGGCAGCACGAATTGACGCAGCTGAGTAAGTTTCCTGGGCCAGTTAGAGCACGGAGGAGTGTCTGTGTCCCAGCGTCTGAAAGGGATGCGAGACCAGAGCCGGGTTCTCGCTGTGCCTGGCCACTCGGCATCACGGCAGCCTGCTATAACTTCAGCAGCTGGGGGGGGGGGGGGGGCAATTTTGCATAAGACGTGGTGTGGGGTCTTGCACACAGCCATGGGGGCCTAAGAAGAGGCCTGCTGGATTCTCTGATCCGGCATCTCATCCGGTCACACAGTGTCCAGCAGCTGCTCCTAGAAACCGGCCACCAGCAGGGCCAATAGGCACAGCTAGCCTGACCCAGCATGAACTTGTCCAGTCCTCCTTTCAAGCCCCTCACCTGGCGGAGACCCTAGTGCTGGGAACAATTGACAGCAAGAGGAGAAGGGGGCGGCAGAGGACGAGGTGGCTGGGTGGGGTCCCTGGGGCAGTGGGGGTGGGCTTGGGGGGCCTCCGGGGGATGGTGGAGGACAGGGGAGCCTGGAGGAACGTTGTCCGTGGGGTCGTGGGGGTCGGGCACGACTTCGCGACTAAACAAGCATCTTGCCTCTGGAGGTGGCAGAGTCTTTGGCTGAACGGTCCCCAGGCGCCTGCCTTCGATTTCCGCAGATGTTCCCCCTGCAGAACATCTGCGGAACATGGCAGATCAGCGTCAGCGTCATGGCTAGAACCCTCTGGAACCCTCTGGTTCTAGTAGCATTGGGGGAGGAGGATGCCCCCCGCCAACTTTCTCCATGTCACGCGTTCCGAACGCCTCTTTTCTTTTCTCCCCTCACTCACCCGGCCCCAGGTACCACAACCCTGCCACAGAGAGGAATTGCCGCAGTCGCTCGATCCGGCTGTGGGGGGCAGACAGGGAAAAGCAGGGGGCGGCCAAAAGTCTGCCTGTGGTGGAGGTGGGAACCCGGACGAGTGGGAGTTGTGGGGAAGCCTGTAAGGGTGCCCTTTCGCTGCTAGCCCAGCCATGGAACGGCGGCATTCCCAAACCGACCATCCTTCCCAGTCCCTGCCGGGAAGCATTTGCTCGGTGACTTCCCTGGAACAGGTCCAGGGCCTTCCTGTGCAGAGTTGGCTTCTGGGTAGAAAGGGCGCAAGGCCTGCATGCCGCCACAGTCCAGAGTGGCTTGATTTGCCCGTGGGGGTTGTGCTAACAGCCCGGGTGCCTCCCGTGGCTTGCCATGCTGTGTGAACTCGGGCTGCAGGGTTGTTTGAGGGTTAGATAACGCTGAAGCCATGGCTTTGCTCAGGGTGACGGGAGAGTTCGATATGCTCCTAACAGCCCCTGCTGCTTGGTTCGTACCACACGGCAAACCACGGCGGGCCTCACGCCGTGCAAACGTGGAACTCACTGACACTCAGCACCACGCAGTAGCGTGGCCAGTTAGCCCGTCGTGGTCCCCTGTGATTTGCAAGGGGCCCTCTGTCCTCCAAGCCCCCGCTCCTCCCACTCTTCCCCATCTGGACCATCGCGGTTGCAGCTGCCGCCAACAAGTTTTCAGAGCAGACAAACCCCCCTGTGCAGCGGAGTCCTTGGAGGCCACAAACGAGGTGCCAGACCGCGATTTCTCCTCCAGATGCGACGCGCCAGAGAGCCTTTTAATGCTTTCCCTTGGGGGAGGGAAGGGGGGAGTGGCACCAAGTCCCCCCGTGCCCTGCCCCAAGTCCAAGCGGGAGAAGCTGCCCTGGCTTGCCTGAAAGGCGCTTTGTGCGGGCCGCATTCTGGCAGGGGAAGGGAAGGAGCTGGCCACGCTCCGCAGCCAGCAGTGAATAGCCTAGCCCTTAATTAGCAGGACTCCATCCATGAGGCTGGCGGGGGGGGGGGGGGGGGAGAGTCACTTGGGAACGACACACCGCGTGCCCCGAGAGAGAATCGCCCTGTTTCCCTCTGTCTGCAAACTTTGAGCTGCTCGGGCAGCTCCCCTGAATAAGGAGGTCTTTACGAGAGGACAAAGGGTGTCGGGGAGGGGGGAGCGGAGGCAGAAGTGAGTGGGCAGGCCTGGAGGCGGCCCTTTTGGCCTCCCCGCGGGGCCTGGCTCGGAGGGCAGCGCAGCCCTCGGGGGCCTGGAGCGGGTGATGGCAGCGCCTGCCGTCCAGAGCTCATTTGGGTGCGGTGGGTTCGAGCCGCTATTTGGGGGGGGGGGGGGGGGTTTAAAAGCTTGCCTCCTTTATGCATCGGCAACAGAGAATCGGGATGCCTCAGAGCCCGGCTCCTCCCCGGGAGGGGAACACCACCCATCTGCCCCAGCAGGGGATGCTGGACTCCAGTTCCCATCAGCCCCAGAGAGTGTGACTCTAGTGGTCCGGGCTGCTGGGAGTTGCCATTTGGGGCATGCTGGGTGGCTGGATCGGAACCAAGTTCTCCTGCAGGCTTGAGGCTCGGTGCCCTGGCCGGGGCAGAAGGCCTTTTTAATGGTTTCCAGAGAGCATGTGCCAACTCTGGGCTTCCGAAGAAATTGTGGTGTATCATTGCAGTGATATCCAAACATGTTAGCTAGACTTCCAAAACTTTTAGCGGCAAGCCTCTTACACCGCTCAGCGAGGGATCCTGCAAGGGGGGACTCCAATCAGCCAGATTCAGGGGAAAAAACAGAACAAAACAGAGTCCCCCTCGAAAAGACTGAACCGGAGAACAAAGAAGGGGGCCCGCTTTTCTGGCTCCTGAAGTTGCGGCGTTGCAATGCCACAGCGTTCTGCATGACGGAAATATGTGGTTGCGAGAGTCGTGCTGTTTACACAGGTACTAGGAGATCACAAAGCGTAGAGAGCTGGCAAGGAGGACCCCGTGCAGGTGGCCAGAGTGTCTTCTCTGCCCAGCAGCAAAGCACAACAGAGCATTCGTGCCTCTCGCTTGCGGACGTGATGCCTGATAGCGGACGCTCAAGGGCAGCAGGCACGGACCTTGGGCCCCCTCAGCATCAGGAAAGGGAAACTCCCTAGCTGCATGAAGGCAGACCGTCCTGGTCAGAGAAAAGCTAGCTAACCCTGTTGTACTCATGCAAGCAGCTAGACTTAAGTGCCAAGCGAAACAAGCAGCTGAAAGGGCTGGAGACCCAGGCCTGACCTTGTGGGGTCCTGGCCTGTTAATGAAACCCGGACGTTTCATGCCTGAAAATGGGTGATCTTTGCCACACTTTTGCTCTCCCAAGCCAGGATATTCTTGTCTTGTTCGACTGGCTCATTTGCTCCTCTGTTTCCTCCATTCAGTTCCTGGACGGCTCTACGAGGTGAAGGTGGTGCCGTTCAACAAACACGAAGATGGCTATGCAGCTGTGTGGAAAGGCAGGATGGAGAGAGCGCCTGTAACGGCCGCAGGTGGGTGCTGCAGGAGGGTCTGGGCCACCAGCATTCAAGGACGGCTCGCAGAACACGCTCCCGCCATCGGGAAAGCGCGTGGATGAGAACTGCGTGCAGCGACAGTGACTGGAAGTTTGCGTGGAGGTGAAACTGATGCTGAGGGGCAGGCTTTGATTTTGCAGCATGCCAGTTTTTAAAAAACAAAATAGCTTTTAGAAACCTAAAGTTGAGTGCAAATTAGGAGCAGGGGGCCTGGAGCATGCAATGAGCGGCTGGTTTGTTGCATGGAGGTTTCCTGGCGGTTGAAATTCTGAGGAAGAATGCACTGCAACAGAGTCCATAGAATCACAATGCTGGAAGGGGCCCTGGAGATCGTTTGCTCTAAGCAGGCGCTCCGTTGCAAGGTACCTCTAATTCCTCCTCCTCCTCTTTCCATGCTGGTCTGGATGGTGACTCAGATGCTCAGCCACATCCCAGAACAAGTCAGCCCTTGGCTGCAAAAAAAAAATTCCCCCTTGAGAGTGAAGTGGGAGAAGCATCATTTGAGAGCCACGTCCCAGTTCACCCTCTGGGTCTCTGATGCCTCGTTCGGGGCAGCACATTTTAAGATGTTCTCACACACCGGACTGAGTTCCGTGAAGGGTGACGAAGATGATCAGGGGCCTAGAAACTAAGTCCTGCGAGGAAAGATTGAAGTCGAAGTTCTATCCTTGCAAAGAGCCGGTTGAGCAGGGATGTGGTGATAAGCTTCCTAATGGACAGAGCAGCCAAGTCCATGGGCTTCCTGTCTTGTGAGGCATTCAGGCAAGACTTGACGGATGGACGTCAGGGATGCTTTAAGCTGGAATATGATGGGGCTGCTGTCCCCACCCTGGGGGCCTTCAGAGGCATTTGGACCGCAGTCCCCAGAATTCCCCTCCAGCCGGCCTGTTGACTGGGAATTCTGGGTGCTGCAGTCTGAACGTGTCTGGAAGGCACGAGGGGGGGAAGGCTGCAGTAGGGAGCTGGGAGATGGCCTTGGCCGCCCGCATGACCCCTTTGAACGCTGGGGTTTTGTGCCTCCCTCGTCTGACTCCGTTTCCCTTGATGTCCCCCTCAGAGCCCCCAGTTCAGAGGGGCCCACCGCTGCCGCCAGCGCACGTCTACGTAGAATCCAACAGCTCCACGTCCATTTGGCTGAGGTGGAAGAAGCCCGACTTCACCACGGTGACGATCGTCAATTACACCGTGCGGTTCAGCCCCTGGGGGATGAAGAACGCCTCGCTCGTGACGTACTGCACCAGGTACAGGGATGCGGCCGAGCCCGGGACGGAGCTGCTTTGCAGGAGAGGCCGCTTGAAACATTTAAACCATTTATACTCCTTTATTGTGTCAGCTTGAGTTATCTGGTGGCCTCGAGGAAACCGGGGTGGGGAGCAGCCAAGGGTTGCTGGTGGTTGCTCCCAATATTGGCTTTCTCTTGGGCTTGCTTTTTGCATGTCTTCTCACGCGTGTTTCCTTACAACATGCCGCCTCTCCAGCCCTGAAGACGTTTTGGGCTACAACTTCTGTAATCCCTGACTGGGACTGGAATTCTAGTCCCCACAGTCTGCCCCGCGCTGGGTCACTTACTCCTCTATTTGTCTGTCTTATTTACAAGGCGTTTTCAAAAGGTTTCTGCACTATTATGCTTTATATAGGACAAATCTGTGGATTTCCGTTTCTCATGTTTTCAGTGTGGAGTTTGTTTCATCCCATTTCCACATCTGTTACCAAAGCAAGAAAGAAAACTGCATTTTTCCCATTTCTGTGCACATTTATCCTAATATATGCAATTTTGTGTGCAATTTTACTTAAAGCACACACTTTTTGCAAGTGTTTTTCATTAATATAATGCTTTGGTACATATGTTTTAATGGAAGGACAGCCTTGCAAAATTCAAAGAAGTGCAAACACTGAAGGATTCGTATGTTTCAGCTGGTACATTAGCAAGTGCAAATTAATTGGATTTGCATACAAATGCCGGCCAAACAAAGTTCTTCCTGCTCCTTAGGACCCGCTCCCCATTCTTAGAGTTCTTTGGCACCTCTGTCCTTGGGGTTGCTTGCAGTTTGCTTCTTCAGCGGAAGACCAGGGATGTGTCTAGCAATGTTCGCTGCTGCCAGGCCCTTGGCCCATCGAGCCTGATGTTGCCAGCACGGACTGGCAGCTGTCCAGGATTTTGGGTACCCGTTTAAAAGAAGCCAGGGCAGATGCACCGGGATCCTGGCTGCAGGATCCGAGGCATGGCAGAGCCTGAACCGAGCCCAAGCTCAAGGGGGAACTCAGAGGCGGAGTCCCAGGCGAGGAACTGCTGTGCTTCCCAGCTGCTCAACAGCAATGCCCCCCCCCCCCCCCCCCCCAGCACCCCGAAGCCGTCACGAAGGGGCAACGCTGCCTCGCTCTTGCTCCCGGCTTTGCGCTGGAGCTGACGGTCCCCACTCTGGGCACAGCCGCCGCTTCTCCAGCCGGGGCAGGTAGCCACTCGGCAGGGCGGGCCTCCCCCTTGGGTCAGGATCGCTGCAGGATGCAGGACCAGCAAGGTGCAGCCAGCAGGGCTGGGCAGGTGAAGCAGGACAAGGCGAGGAGGTGGGCAGGGGCAGGCCCCGAAAAGGCAGCTGCTCCTGCAGCCAGCTCCACTGCTTTGGCAGCTGCCGGGCACCTGCCCACCTGTCGATGGCGCTGTGGCTGCTTCTCCCGCCCGGTGTTCCCTTTCCTTGCAGCTCTGACGAAGACATCCTCATCAGCGGGCTGAAGCCCTTCACCCGGTACGAGTTCGCAGTTCAGTCAAACGGCGTCGGGATGGACGGGCCCTTCGGGAACGCGGTGGACCAGGTCACCCTCCCCGACCGTGAGTCAGGGCTGCAGGCGCACCTGCCCTCTCCCGGCCCTTCCCCGAACCCGGCTCCACACAAAGGCCCCACCTTCTTCTTTTCCTTCAGAAGGCCTAATTCTGCCCCCCTGCTGCTGCTTGTTTCATGTTTGAGTTCCCACTCTTCAGCTAAAAAAAAACAGACTGGCTTCCGCCCAAGTAAAAATGCTAACAAATTAAAATGCAGAGGAGGGAACGATTTCCCAGCAGGACAACAAACTCGGCACTGCCGGAAAGACAAGTTCTTCTCCCAAGCTCACCAGATTCTTCTTGCTGTGGATTTTATCTGGCCAGGCTGCTTCTAGGTTCTGTTCTGTTGTTGCTGTACATGTTAGTGTATTCTGGTTTGTTAGCAAGGAGCCACCACTGAAAAGGCCCCACCTCTCCACCCGCTGCCTCTTTTCCGTTGAAGAGGGAACCCGAGGAAGGGCTTCGGAGGCACATCTTGCCCTCTGGGCCTGGATATGCGAACCAAGGGCAGTCTGCACGCGGGTGGGCGTTGTGCGGCAAAGCGTGGGAAACCAACACCTCACTCCTGGTTTCCCCTCTGAATGGAAGGGTGGGCTCTGCTTGCATTTCTTTTAGCGCTGGGGTTGGATCTTGCGAGGTTGCGAAGCCATGCCCTGTTGCGCTCCCTTCCCTTCTGGCAGGGCCGTCCACGCCTCCCTCTGACTTGCGGCTGCATCCCATCAACCCCTATGCGGTCCAGGTTCACTGGTGCCCCCCCTCCGAGCCGAACGGCATCATCGTGGAGTACCTCATCCTGTACAACGCCAACAACACGCAGCCCGACGAGATGTGGACGCTCCTGACGAGAGAGGGTCAGTCGGTGGGGATGCCCCGGGGGACCTCCGGTGTGAGTGCTCAGCAGAGGACTCGGTTCCCGCGGGTTCCTGCTCGGAGACCGCAGCAGTCTTGCTGAGTGAGCCCGAACGGGTGGCGTGCGTCCTGACTGCCTCTCTCGTTCAGGCAACATCTTCAGCGCGGAAGTTCACGGGCTGGAGAGCAACACCCGGTATTTCTTCAAGATGGGAGCCAAAACGGTTGTTGGGTCCGGTCCCTACTCCAGCGTGAAGGATGTACAAACCTTGCAGGAGAGGCTCTCAGGTACCGGCTTCTCGGACCTTCCCTCTTGCAGGACCGCTGCTCTGCATGAACGCGAGCCGCTGTCCGCCCCGCTGGAGGCACCCTCGCCACCCTCTGGCTGTGCTTCCCGCTCCCGTTGGCTCCTCCTCTCGCCGGAAATGGTGACGCTTCTCCCGTGTCCTTCCCCTGCTAGATGTGCTGGAAGTTCACTCCGTCACGGGGATTATCGTGGGAGCTGGTCTTGGGTTGCTCTGCATCCTCTTCTGCATGTGCACCAGCTTTTGCAACAACAAACCAAGGTAGGTTCTGCGCCACGTTGGCCAGAGGTGCCCAGAGCTCCCGCCAGATTGGAGGGAGCTGCTTGCGGTGTCTTTCTCTCTGCTCTCGGGAGTGCGGCGGGTGGGAGAAAAGAGCCACAGACCTCCCTGCTCTTGATCAGCTGCCAAACCCCCTGCAGAAGTGGCTGGTGGGGACGCCACCCCTGCTCTCTGCCGTCTCCAATGGTTTGCGGTTTCTTTAACAGCCCTGAAACGTGGTACTTTTTTAAAACTGGGAAGTGCATGCAGCTTTCATGACCGCAGAGCAAAGGAAGGGGAAACAAGCATTTTTAGATTCCTGCCGGGAATTCTGCACTATTTCCCGGTTTTCCTTTTTCCCAAACGTGCCCATTTCTCATTCCATCCCTATGCCGTGCTGTTTCAATTTCAAACTGACCGCACTTCTTTTGGCCTTTTCACTTTGTGGTCCGATATGCACATTTGGAGTAAGGCCCCTTGCATCCCATGGGATTTACTTCTGAGTAGATGTTGCCTCATATATTAATAGACTTTGAAAAGGGAGAGGACGGCCCAGAACTTGAAGTAGATCTCTTGACAGCACGAAAGACACTCTTCTGTCACACGATGCCTTTGAGAGTCTGGTGCTTGCTTTCTGCAGTTATACTGTATTGATGACAGGTCCGGTTTCCTTTTTAAACCTCTCTATTTCCGGTCAATCCTTTGCTTAAAAAACAAGGGGGCTGGGGATGGTGGAGAGCCAGCGCCAGACTCACAAACCTTTCCCCAAGCATACTTGGCCAAAAATACGCAGGACTGAGATACCTCTGCAAGGTGGAGTGTGGCTTGTAGCCCTGAACACGAGTCCCTGAAGGAGGTCAGGAGAGAGAACACTCGGAGGAGGGCCTTCTCTGGAGTGGCACCCTGATTGTGGATTACTGTAACACGCTCTGCATGGGGTTGCTCTTAAAGACAGTCTGGATACTGCAATTGGTTCAGAACAGAGCTGCCAGATTGCTGTCGGGGGCTGGTTGCTGTTCTCACATAACGTCGGCCTTTTATCAGCTTCACTGAAGTCTGGGCCCAATTCACCTCACTTCACTGAAGTCCGGGCCCAATTTAAGGTGCTGGTTATGACCTATAAAGCCCTAAATGGCTTGGGACCAGGATACCTGAAGGAACGTCTTTTTCCCTACATGCCCAGCCGCCCCTTAAGATCTGCAGCAGAGGCCCTGCTCCGGGAGCCCTCCCTGAAGGAGGTCAGGAGAGAGAACACTCGGAGGAGGGCCTTCTCTGCGGTGGCTTCCCAGCCATGGAATGTGCTCCCCAGGGAGGTTCTCCTGGCACCAATGTTACATTCTTTTTGGCATCAGGCAAAACCCTTTTTATTTTCCCATTATTTTAATGTTTAATTGATTTTAACTGGAGTTTTAATATATTAACCGTTGGATGCTGTGGGGCTTGTTTTCTTCTACTCAAATTTTGTACGCCATCCTGAGACATTTGTAGGGGACGGGATAGAAAAGCTTTTAATAAATAAGTAAGCAAGCAAATAAATAAATAAATCCACCTGCTTTTGATTTTTAAGCCTTGGGGAGCAGAGTTCGTGTTTACTAACAAAGCTGAAAACAGCCGTTCCCTTTCTCCCTGGATATCCCTTGTGATGTGTGTTCCTCAGCCTCCTCTCACGCGTGGGGCTCCCCAGAAGTGGGGTGGAGGGGAGCATGTGGGGGCTGCCAGCGAATGCTGATGCTCTTCCTCCTGCTCCCCGCAGGGATGCCGTGCCGGGCCTGGAGGCCCAGGCCCCCGGGAGCCAGGCATATGCTCAGCACGACCGGCCGGCGGCGCCCCTCCCCGTCACCCTGTCCAGCTGCCACGAACTGGAGTCCCTGGTGAGCCCGGTCCCCGACGATGCTCCCTCGCCACCGGCAGGCGGCACGGACCCGTGCAAAGCGCAGGGCCCCCTCCTCCGTGGCCCCCTCGACGCCAAGCGAAAGGTATTGCCGCTGGCCGAAAGCCCCCTCCGGCGGGAGCCACCCTGCAGCCCCTCCGAGGGAAACGGCCTCCGTGCTCCTGCAGGGACGGATCCGGTGCTGCTCCCTTGCACAAGTCGCAGGCGCAGGAGGGTGCCGTCTGTCGATTCCGGCTTGCAACGCCGAAACAATGCTTCACCTTGCATTGTTGCTGGGCATGGCTGGAGATTAGTTTGGCGGTTTGCAATCCAGAGCCCAAGCTGGCCAATCTCATGGGTCCCTGAGGGGTCATTTTTGTTTAAAACCCTGGTGGGGAACCTGTCACCCCTCAGTGTGGTCAGGTCCCCACTGCCTGCGCCAGCAGGACCGCTGGCTCCAGCAGCGGGCTTCCACACGCAATGTCCATTTACTGCTGTGGCAAGAGGCAGATTTAAAAGCCGCAGTAAATCGGGCACAGCACAGGCTGTCCTCTTAAAGCTTGGGAGAATGAAATGACCCGAGCACTGTCACCAGCGGGACGGCCTTGTGGGGAGTGTTCCCAAACGGAAGTGCCACCACCTAGAAGGCCCGACTAGCGCGAATTGCCACCCGCCGCCTTTCCAAAGGCAGCAGCGCCCGGGGCAGATGCGGACAGAGCAGCACATCCAAAACGGCTCTCCATCAAGTGAATCAGCTGAAGCCTGCATGGAAATGAATTGGAGGTGGAACATTTTCTAATGCAAGAGAAACATGTTCCAGGCAGCCCATACAGCTGACAACCCGGCCTGCCTCCTGATCACGGCATAAGAAATGTTTGCCCACAGTGGTGCTGGTGAGAGAGAAAGGGCAACCAGCCACAGGCCTCACAGTGTAGCGGGGAGAGAGTACGCACTTTTTAAACATTAAGCTGCTCTTCTCGCAACGTGCTCATGACTGCGGAGCGCACACTCGCTTTGCACGAGGAGGGTGCGTGGCAAACGCGCCACTGCTCCCACGAGAAATGCTGCCAGGTTTCTCAAAGCCTTAGATGATCCTGGAAATGCCTTTGCAAGGACCCCCGCCAAGCCCTTCTGCAATTCTCAGGGCTCTCTGGGAAGCGGCCTGGTTGCATCGCAAAGCACTTGGGGTCCCTGGAAAAGAGAGAGAGCCCTGCGACAAAGGCTGGCTGCTTGCGGCCTAGAGCCACACGGAAGGGAAGGACCAAGCTGGAGGGCCCAGTGGGAGGCTGCGCAGGCCGAACTGGAACAGCAGCGAGCAAGCCGAGTGGCGACCGCCCCGCTCAGGCTCCGCTGGGGCTGGTGCCCCTCGGAATCCGTCTTGTGCTCCAGTCTGCTGCCAGCATTTTCTCTGGGGCGCTGCAAGAGATCCTGGCACAAACTCGCTTCCCTGGCTTCCTCCTCCTGCCTCCGGAAGGAGAACGCTGCGAAGCACCCAGGTGCCTGTAGCCAGGGGCCGCACCTTCCGCAGACGGACAGGTGCGTGTGTCCTCGCAGGCATCCAGCTATGGTACTTTTGTCCTGCCTGCAGTTTCTCTCTGGCCGTTTACTCCCAGCGAGTTCTTCCTTTGCCGTGGTGCCATCCTGGCCTTTCCTCTGCATGCCCACCCCCGCACTTAATTCTTCCCAGTTTGTCCGGAGCACTTCATTTCATTACGGACTGATTAATTGTCCTCATTTAGATTACTCGGTTATGTCTGTCTTTGTAGCCCATGGAGAACGTGTCAGAGGATGAGGGAGACGAGAAGAAGTGGGGGGAAATGCGCAGGATGCCTCCTTTCTTCAGCCACTGTTTCTGCTTGGCCTGCAGCTGGCCCTGAAGTACCGGAGCAGCAGTGAGCACGCCGGAGCCCAAGGAAAGGGCGGCTGGCGCTTTCGCTTGGCAGCCAGCGCCGTCAGGGTGGAAATTCTGTTAAAGCCAGAAAGGGCGTATGTGCACAGGAAACCGGGCTTGGCTCTGGCTTCCGTGCCCGCCTCGGCCACAGATCCATTCGTGATTTGATTTGTGTCGCACCTTTCTGCCCAGACGGCCGCTCGGCGCAGCTTTCACCCAAGCCTTGCTACGTAACTAGGTGTGCCCTCAGCTGGATGAGGCAAGATTGGCAGCCTTCATCCGGACAGAAGGTTTGGGTTCGGGTTTCTCTCCCACACTGTTACCGCACGATTGCCCTGCCAGAAGGGACCAGGGTCTGCCAGGGCCCTGTAAGGCTGAAGCAGCCCGCCGACCTCCCCTTTCTTGCGTGCAGTGGCTGTGAGGCTTTTGCACGGGCTTTGAGCTGGGCAGGATGCGGTCCTGCTCTGTGTGGCCAGCCACTAGGGGGGAGCAGATACCCAAAGCTGTGCTTAAACCCACGCAGAGATGGGACTCTTCAGCACCACCTTCAGCATTCAGTGAGAGAAGGAAAGAGGCAAACTGGAACATCTCGGACCATCTTCAAGAGTCTCCTAACGGAGTTGCTGGGAAAATGTGGGCAAATCTGGGTCTGCCTATAGGACATGGGGAGGGGTGGACCTTCCCACGCAGTGCCCTGTTCCATCTGAGCTATTCTGCCTCGGAACAAGAGGAACATCCTGTCTTGTCCCCCCTCCCCCTGAAAGCCGCCAAGAGACCCCGCATGGGCTTGCAGGACAAGAGAGCATGCCCCCATCGGCAGGGCTGGGGTGCTTTTGCTCCAAAGTCTTGGGGTGTATTTTAGAGGGCTCGGTCTCCTGAGGACATTCCTGTCTCTGAAAAGGGCGCACAGACAGGGGAGAGGGGCGCTTGAGTTCCAAAACGAAAAACCCATCAGGCGGAAAGAATCAAAGGGCAGGAGGAGGGGAAGCTCATGTGAGCAAAAGCCAGCTAGTCTACGAGGATCGGATGTGAGAGACAATCAGAGCTGTGGAACTTTTTAACTTTCTATTTAGCCTCCCGTAACTTGAGCTCCGGGTGAAAGATTCAGGGGCCCAGCCCTGCAGAACTCTCCAGCACCAGCTCGGCTGCTTCGCTCATCATGCTTTCCCCGGGCACCTTGAATTAACCCTAACCCGGCCCGGCTTAGCTTTTAAAATATGAATTTGGTCCATTCTAGCCACCCGAATCGGCTGGATAAAACTCTGCTTTCCTGGCTTCCATCCAGCTGTTGCTTTAATCCTTTCATTTCCTTCCACATAAGCCGTTCTTGACAGAGCAGATAGCAATTTCTGTGAGGGCGATTGGAGAATAAATTCCACGTGCATCCCCAGAAGTGTGGCATAAAGTTCGGAATTCATTTTAAAAACAGTGGCGTTTTTCCTGCAGGAAGGCACTGTTCTGCTTCCTGCGGCCGGCCTGGGGTGCGGATCATCACTGCCTGGAGCTGTTGGGCATCACCTGTCCAGTCACAATAATCTGCTTTCCATCCCACAGCCTCCCTGGGAGAAAGCACTGACCAACTGGGCCAGTAGAATTGCTGGTTCTGGAGAGGCCCTTCCGGAAGACCCCAGACCTGGCCTGGCCTTGAACGGCTCGTTGAAGACGGCACCCAACGGGGGACAAAAGCTCTTGTTGCAAGCCCTGGCCTACGAGACTGACACGGTGCGTATGCCCGGCGGTGGGTCACTCCCTGTGCGGACGCACTCCTTTCTGTTTCAGGGGCTCGCCTGGCACGGGGGGACGTGAGGCGTGTTTTGGCCCCCGGCTCCTGCTTGCCAAACCAGTTCCCTGGTCGGGCAGAAGGCATTCTGCTCCATAAGCGGAGCACATTTCCAGGCGCTGTGCCGGGTCGGGTCTTCCTGGCTGCAGCGCTGGGGATGCATCTGCCCGGCCCCGCTGAGCTCACGCTGCCAGCTCCCGTCCACCCCACAGAGAGGGCAGTGGCTCTGTCAGCCCCAGTCAGCCCCTCGCTCGCCGCATCCGCCTTCTCCACCACCACCGGGAATCTCCGTGCGTTTCCTGCTGACCGCTTGGCCTGGCCCAGGGTAGTGCTCCCTTCGCCATGGTGGCCAAGGGGATGCCGGGCCCCGCGGGAAAGCCATGGGGCGGGCAGGCCCCCTATCCTGCCTGCCGGCGTTTCACCGAGGCGCCCTCTGCCCCGTCTGTTTCCACTCCAGCAGGACGCAAGCCGGGAGCTCCCGCACAGCGGTGTCGGCCAGGTGGAAGCCGAGGTCCTTGTCCATTCCGATTTCTCAGCACAGGGCCAAGACAGCGGCACCCACTTCCATGCCCAAGACCCGGCGGCGGCTCTGTCTGAAGACCCTGACCTGGGACCCCTTCCCATGGAGGGGTCTCCCAGCAACCCCAAGCAGAGTTGCAGCCAAGATCCCCCAGAGCTGGGAGACCAGAGCGGCCCTCGGGCCCCGGACGCCAGGCCAAGGACTGATGGGCAAGCATGCAGGACCGTGGCCACCCCCCTGGAGATGGCCACGGGGGTGTGAAGGCCTGGACTGCGGGGGCAGTGGGGATGCCGGCCCCCTCCAGGGATGGGGAGAGGGCCCACAGGCGGTCCTGCCCCGTAGCCGCTCCAGCATAATCGGCTCGCCCTCGGTGGCTTGTGCTCAGTGCCCTTGAAGAGAGCCCTGGCGAAGCCCCTGAGCACGTGGAACTAGAAGTAGCTATCGGATTCCAGTATGGCTTAACTCTTGGTGGTACGAAACCGCCTCGCCGTGCGCCCTCTGGAGGAGACGGCCAGGCCCCCAAAGCGTTTGCTGAAGGCACCTGCCCCCACCTCGCCCCCCTTTCAGGGCTGCTCTCCCCGTGCTTCCCACGCCTCCGGCAGAGGATCGAGCGATCTGCGAGGGGCACAGTGGCCTGGGTGGGCAGTGCAAGGCCTCCCAGAAGCCGCTTCCCTCTGGCCCCAGCTGGCCCCACGCGTGCCATGGGCCTGGGTGGTGTGGGCCCAGGACAGGCGAGGGACCTGCTCCGGCTCTTGCGGGCCCTCTTGGCAACCGAGTGTGGCTGCATCCTGAACGAAGGAGCCGGTCTGCCCGGCCGTGGGTCCCGGAGCCCCTTGAGCTGTGGCCAGCTGTGGCGGGGCGCGCGTGGCCTCTGGGCTGGGTGGGCTGCCACCACCGCGCATGCCTGTGGTTTGCACTTGCAGGGCCCCCTGATGTGGGACGGGGGGGTCGCCCCGCATCCCTTGGCCAGTGCCTGGGGCTGGAAGGAAGCGGCGCTTTTGGAGCCCAGCCTTAAGGGATTTTAGAAAATCGCTCTTAACACCCTGTCAGTAACAGCGCTTCTTTTGCTCCCCTTTTAAACCCCCAGTCTAACAGCGTCTTCCACTAGGTGGGCTGAAGACTAATTTGCGTTGTTGCAAAACAGTGTTTGGTTCAGGGAGCTGCTGAGGACCCTTTGACCCGGTCACGAGGCTGCTCTGGGTGCAAGCCAGGTGTGTTTACCCAGCAAGAAGGCCCTGCGGCTCCCCGTGTTCCCCAGCCGGAGTCACTCACTGGGGATGCTGGAGCGAGCGGTGGGCCTTTGGCGGTCCAGACGTGCAAGGCCCACACGCACGGTGCCTGCACCCAGGCGCGGGGGAGCGATTGCCGCCCCCACCTGCACACGCACGTCAGGCCGGTGGGTGGTTTTGGCCATCTGGAGTGTGTGGAGGGGGAGGAAAAGCGACTTGGTGCCAGTGGGATGAAGCGTTAGGCGTCGGGAGCCCCCGCTCTGAAACTGCAAGGCCCGTGACCCCAGAGCTGAGATTCCAGATCCCCCCCCCCCCCCCCCCCCCCCGGTCTGGAGGCTTCAGGTGGCACATTCTGGACCGAAACAGAGAAAGGTCAACCTAGGGCTGAGCGGCCCCTCTGTCGGGGCAGAAGATACCTGTGTTCGTGCCCCATTTTTGCCCAGAAGTAGTGGCTGGCCTTGGCTTTTGGCTTTGCATTATTCTGAGAGCCTGCCGCACCTAAGGTGAGCTAAGGTCTGCTCGGGAAAGGTTGGCCTTTTTCAAGCGATTTCAAACTCCCTTAAAATGGATTGCAGCTTCCACGCTTAAGCTCAGGCCAGACGGTGTTTGCAGGCGTGATTGCCCGAGCGGGGTTTTCTCACATGACGGCCAGGATGGTCCAAAAGGCAACTGGACAGTCCAGAGGCGCGCTTGGCCCTTCAGTGCGAAATTCGCTAAATCCTCGCTCACCTGTGCTGTGGGTTTCCAGGCAACTTGCCTGGCCGGCGCTCTTGTAGCGTGTCCCGTGCCCGCGTGACCAGGCTCAGTGGTGGGTGTGATCGCCACACTTGCGCTGCTTCAGGAACAGCCTCCGGCTGGGGCTGCGGGGACCCCTTTGCCCCATCGCTTCTCGTGCCAAGCCGTGCCCGGCAACAGCCGCACCAGGTGCAAGCAGCCCCCCCCCGTCCTGCCCCAGCGAGGACGTGCCAGCACATTGAGTTGGTGTGTTCCGAGCGGCGATCCATTCCAAATTCCCTTCCTGTGCCCCCGGAAAGAACGCGCTAAGCATCACCCTGTAACGGACTGTGCAACGGAGGGTCTTTGCGGCTCGCTCTCGGTCAACGGGCCACCCAGGCCGGGAACGCCAGCGGGTGGCGTGCGAGCAGGGTGCCGCCTGCACAGAGTCTGGGTGGCCGGTGGCCCAGCTAGCCCCTTCCAAGCCCTTCGGTCCCAGCCACCCTGCTCCTCTCTGTGAGATTCAGGCGAGGGGGCTGCGATGCACCGCAGGGGGAGCAGAACTGCCCCGAAACGAGGGCTGTGCACGGAAGCACTCCTTCCAGCGTCCCTCTGCCCGGTCCCTCTTCCAACAGGCGCCATGTTGCCCAGAGGGGGCCCACTTCCCCCCGCACCAGGCTTGCTAGTGTAGCTCAGGGGTCCCCCGTGCAGCAGCAACTCTGGCTCATGGCTCAGAAGGCAGCTCCCATCCTCAGCCCGGCAAACTCTTGCCAAGAGGAATACCCGAGTTCCAGCATCCAAGCGCTGCCTTTTCCCTTCTGTGCTCAGCTGAAAGGAGTGTTCAGCACACTTCCCCGGATCGCACAGCAGGGCTCCTGCGCCTGAACTTCCTTCGTGGAATAATAATGCGGAAAGTGGCAGTTCCCATCTAGCCTTCCCTCTGGCATCGCTCGTTTTCTCTGCGGGGTGGGGGGTGGGGGGTGTTCCTTGTTCTGGTTTTAATAGAGGGGTTTCCAAACATGCAGTGGTGTCATCCATGGAAGATTGTACCACTTGATGCTGCTGAATTTCAGCGGGGAAGCAGCCCTTGCTAGCAGGCGAATCCTGCAGCTTCTTATTACACACTCTGCGAGTGCTTCTAACAACCTCTACCGAAAATTAGAGAACCTTCTTCAGCTCTTGGGTTGCCTCACCAGCGTGGATGCTTGTGTTAACATAGGCCACGATCCTGTAGGAACTTCTCTTGTGCAAGTCCCAGTGCAAGGGACATCTGTGTCTCCCACTGGTGCTCACACGGAATAAATTTCCTGCTGGATGGTACCCCTAGGTTCTTGTACCTAATATTTTAGGTATTGATCTCTCTCTCTTTCTCTCTCTCATTCTCCTTTTTAATGTATGACAATTTATTTTTTATTTCCTCAGAGCATCTTTATATTATTTAATTTTATATAAAAAGGGAAAAAAACATTACTAGCGTGTGTTCTAGCATAGCATTTTTACTGCTATTTCTCTATTGTGTTTTTTCCTCTCCTTAACACAACAACTACCTCAAGCTTGTTTTAAAAAAGGAAAATAAAAGCAGTAGCGTTTGCTCTTTTGCCATGCTATTTCTCTTTCGCTTTATTAGAAGAACTGTCTTAGCTGCCCTCCAGATTGTGGACAGAGGGCAGCCCAGTTGGGCCTCCTGGGCCAGGGAGTTCCAAAGTGTGGGAGCCACCACTGGGAAGGCCCTGGCTTGCATGCCCAGCTGTCCGAATTCAGATTAGATTTTAGAATCCCCCCAAAAAGTTGGTAAGTGAAGGGGACGTGATTGAGGTGCATAAAACCTTGCATGGTGGGAAGAAGGTGGATGACCTCTCAAAATCTGAAAGCCACTGTAAGAATAATGCTAGAAGTGAGGGGCCTTCCTCCCCCACCCCCCGTTCCACTTTGCTCTTGTGGGCACCTGGGTACAGGCCACTGTGGGAACAGAAACCAGACTGTTTGTGGCAGCTGCAGGTGTGTTCCAGGTGGACACAGGAGCAAGGAAGCTGCTTCAGTACCTTCCAGCCAAGCCTTTTAGGGGTATGAACCTCATAACCAACTCCTGAAATGGAATCTGAAATAAATTGGAAGCTGTTCAGCTGAGCAGGGTGCGGGGTCCAAATGACCAGCTCCTCAGGGCTGCTTGGGGATTTTGTGTTGGTTGCCATCCTGGGCCAAAAAGTGGCCTGTGGAAGCAGCGAGGGGGCGGTCGAGGCGGCCCAGCTGTGGGGAAGCCGCTGTCGCGTGCGCAGCATGAAACTGCCAAGGTCTGTGGCCACGGGAGCAGCACGGAATCCGGAGCGCGTGCAGACGGCAAGCGAGTTTTCTGTTCAGGACTGGCCAAAGCCTTTTCTGCTTTGACTGGATCACCTCTTAGCTGGTTAGGTCACTCCAGCCCATCATGACTGCAGATTACAGGCTGGGGGAAAGGGACAGCGTTGCGTTGTCCCGCCCCACAAAGGATGGCGGCTCCCTCCAATCACTGGCACTTGTCCCAGGTCCTCATGCGGATGTGGGAGCGCATGGGGAGCGAGGCAGCACCCCTTCCACGGGTCCAAAGCGGGCAGCCTTGGGTCACCTGCAGGCCATCTTTGCACCCCTCGGAACCCTCCTTGAAGAATTTAGCAATAGCATGAAAAAATACTGCTTTGCCACTGATCCCTGGTGGCCAGTGACTACAGACCAGTGGCCAGCTCCAGGGGAGCTTGTCCCCAAATGTCATTTGACCTTTACACCACTCGGTATTTTATTTATTTCAGTTTCTGTAATGCTTGGCCCCCAGAACTGACTTTCCCCATCTTGTTCTTGTGTGCCAGTTGTACCTCCGTCTGGAGGTGCCAAGCTTCCCCGGGCCAGCTCCAACATGGACTAATAGTTAAGAAACTACTAGGAGGAAATGTGGAGGTGCCATCGATGCTGGTGGAGCCCAGGAATCTAAAAATGTAACTCCAGTGTTATGTCAACCAATCCAGTTTTCTGGCAGCTGCCAGGCCCAATTCAAACAGCCTTCATCTTTGAAGTGCTAAACTAGTTAGGCCTGGGGTCGATTGAAGGAGCACCTTCCCCTGTATAATCCTTCCCTTGCCCCAAGATGTGCTTCTGCAGACCGAACGGGGCAGGTGGCCACAGGCTGGCATGCCTACGTGGCAGGGCCTTTTTTGTGGTGACCCTCAAAATCAGAACGCCCTTCCTATTGACTTGTACCCGGACTGGCTGGTTCAAGCCCTTTGGATACAAACCTATGCAAGTTTAGAAGTAAACCAGTTGCTCCCAGCATTCCTCAGCCAGGCACAC